ACAGAGCCCACCACGTGCCATAGCCCTGCTCCTGCTGCCAGCTGCATCCTCTGACAGAGTGCCTGTGGCCAGGGCCTGTCTGCAGAGGAAAGCATCTGTCCAGGCCTTTTATGCTGATTGTTAAAACTCTTCTGTGAGATAGGGCAGGTTTCCATGATGCAGTGTAATACCTTGTCTGTGTCCTCCTCCTAGACAAACATGAGCATTCTATCCTGTGAATGCTTGCTCACACAGGCCTCATGCTCCAGAACAGAACTTCGATTGAATTACTAACAGTGATACAAATATAGCAATGGTCATTCTACTCCTCAGCTGGCTCTCTACCATTCCTGAAGTCTTCCCCATAGGAACTGAGGCACCCCTGGGATCTAGAAGTGATGAACCCCTATCCAGTAGTCCTGCTGGACACCCCCACCCCCAAGGGCTTCTGCTACACTCTAAGCACCCCTTTCCCTGCCACACAGAGAAGGAAGCCACATAATTGAAAACAATTAGCAAATAGAACTGGAAAGGACAGTTAGCCTTGCGGCAAGACAAGCAGACCGTCCTCAGCTCCCAACTCAGGCAAGCCTCCACCCCAGCAGCTGCTGCTGCCTTTGGTCACTGAGGCCAGATTTCTCCCATCCAGAAATGCAGGCGGGAGAGTCTTTGGTGGCAGACAGCTCCCGGCCGCTGCAATGAAGTGTGCCCTCCTCCACACCACCTGGGCAGGCAGGGAGGCAGTGGTTGCCAGCAGCACACTCGGGCAGCCACAGACTCACCAGATGAGGCAATGGGCCAAATCCCAGAGTGAGGAGGTGGCTCTTCAGCAGGACTCAGGGGGCAGCTGAGCAGGTAGGCAGCAGGAAGGCTTTTGAAAGGGAAGGTGGGACTCCATGGGGTCAAAGGAAGTGGCCACCCAAGTCAAGCCGTCAGCTCATTATGGAAAAGGAGCATGTGCACCCAGGGTACCTCTCTGAGAGTCCAAAGGTCAAGGTCAGAAGGGCAATCAAGGCCCAGAATCAAACGGCAAATGGCCACGGGAAGCCGGCCACCAGCCAAGAATAAACAGGACAGAGCTGCAATAATCTCCTTTCAAAGTCAACACAAAGGCTTGCCTGGGCCCACCTCCATCACCCAGGCCAGCCCACATGACACATGCGCGTGCACACACATGTGTGTAGGCACCCAGCCCTCAGCAACCACAGCAGTCGGCTGGTTCTTAGTCTGCATCCCCACCCCCATCCATCCCCAGCCTCCTCACTACAGACACACACATGCTCACAGTCACAGAACATCACCCACACAGAGCCTGTGCCTTTCTGATCTCTGGAACAACTGGTGACAGTTGGAGGTTCAAACAGGCACAAAGGAAGAAATGCGGAAAATCACTGAGTTTCTCCAAAAGGGTCAGGGGAAAAAGAGCTGAAGGGAGGCCTGGGGAGGGGAGGGGTAATCCCACACTGCAAGGGCAACCTCTCACTGCTCTCCCAAGCCCAGGGGCCCACATGGGACAGAATCTTCTCTTCAGAAACCATGTCAGGCAGGTTTAATGTGGCTGCATAATAGTAATTCCACACATTTGAATAGGACCCTCTACTTTTCAATCCACTCCTGGAATAACACTGGACAGCAGAGATGCCCATCTCCTGGGCCAAATGACCGCCCACTCCTGCGGGGCTGAAAGATTTCTCCAAAACATTATTTCTCCAAAATAATCTTTAATAGCTAAGCGTATGTAATAGTTGTGTGAGCCTGCTTGTTTGTGTGTGAGTGAGTGCATGAGGAGGCTTTATGCAGCAGAGGGGGTTACAGTCAAACAAAAATGAGGTCGCCATGGTAACAGGCTCCAGCATCATTGCAGCCTATTAACACAAGTGAGGAATGTGTTTGGCAGATGCTCGAGTGTTATTTATGGTATGGGTGTAGCAGAGGGACTTCTAACAGGCCAAGACAGAGGAAAAAACAACCGCGTGACGCTCCTACTGTACCCCATCAAGGAGACGACAGGGAGACAAGAGCACAGAAGGAGAGGCTGAGAGGCTGCAAATGGGGAGCAGGAGATAGGTAGCAGAATGAGCAGGCAGGCAGAGGAGAGGAGGGGTGGGCAGAGAGCAACAGGGGACGGGAGGGGAGGGAAAAGAAAGGAAGTGAGAGAGAAGAGCAGGGGGAGAGGGTGGATACCAGGGAAAGAGCCAGAGAAAGAGGTAACTAGGGAAGGAACATCTTCGCCCGAAGAGGCTGCCCCACCGTGCCTCCTGGTTTTCTCCTAAGTAAAAACTATCAGGAGGCACCCCTTAACAAACCAACTGCTTCTTCTCCTAGCTGGAGCGAAGGGCAGAGTCTCCAACATAAGAAGGGCTGGGCAAGGCCAAAACAGGTGAAACGGAAGAGGAGCTGGGAAGACTCCAATAGGTCACATGATGATAGAGAAGACTTGGGCTGTGGGAGCAAGGGGGCCAACCCAGCAGAACAAGAAATGAACAAATGCCAGTACAGTTTACTGAGGGCCTGCAATGTGTCCAAGGCCCCAACATTAGGAACGATGCACTGCTGCCCCATTTCCCTGGACATGCATCTTCATCAAAGAAAAGGATCTGACACAAACAATCCTCAAACACCTGCTGCTCTTGGGTAGCCTAAGGCAGAGGTTAATGCTGGACTGTCCTACTAATATTTCCCCACCCACTGGCAGGGTTTGGTTAAGAAATACAAATTTTATAACAGACATGATTAGAAAGGTAAATCAAATACAAACATAAAAGATATGCTTTTCTCTGAAGCCAAAGAGAAGAAGTGTTTGCATTCCCTTGTCTTGGACTGCGCTGTTCCCAACTAGCTCTGCTGTACTCAACTGAGCAGACCGTGAGAAGTTAAGTAAAAATCTATCCAAAAGCCTACAGCCAAACAAAGGTCTAAAGGCCACGCTGGGTAAAAGAAGCATGGGGGAGAATTGGTGGAGGTGGGGAGAGAGAAGGGAGGGGGATTTGCCTGAGAAGCTAGAAAGGGAAGTCGGTCAGACACTCTGTTGCTACACTGCATTTTCATGCTAAGATGGAGCTGGAGTAACCCAGGTCCAGCACTCCTTTTCTGGGCTCTGACTCCAGTCTCTTGAAATCATATATCCAGGACTGTCTAGGTCTGTAATCAGACCCTTCATCCCAAGTCTGGTTTAGGAAACACCCTAAATGATCCTGAAATCTCTGCTTCTCCAAGTGGATAACATGTCATCCCCTCTGCAGAAAAATGACACCCAGCCAAGCATCCTGACTCCTACCCAAGCCAAGAACAGCCCCCAGAGATACAGCACCCAGGTGATAGCTTGGGTGCTCAGGTCAAAAGAGCTGGAGCCATTATAAGCACTAATAATAGTAGTTAACTTTTTAGAAAAACACCTGCTCTCAATAGGTTTCAGGTTTCTCTCTCAAGTTCAAAGCTGATCTCTAAAGATTCTTTCTTTCTGATCTTTCCAAGATCAGAAAAACTTTAACTTAACCTCAACAACCTCACCTACTCCACTCATTGGCAACCAAATTGGCAAGCAGTTTTTTTAAATTAAATCCCTACTAAGCACCCGCACTGGGCTTGACAAGGAGAGAGCAGAGAAGGAAAAACATATACAACTCAGGACTCCTCCATCCCCGGACAGGGAAGCAAAGCCAGCGGGCACTGGAGAAGAAGTGCTCCACTCTGTGGCTCTGACTCCATTGTTAACCTTGCAGAAGACAGAAGGCCAGTGTGGCTGGAATGGAGGGAGGGCTCCTTGCAGGAGGTAGCCATAGTACAGAGGAGGTCAGAACTAGATGCGGCGTGCACAACACTCGCATTCTCTCTGAGAGGCTGCAGTCACAGAGTTCCTGGGAGGCACAGCTAGAGCCCAGCACATGGAGGCCATAGCAGGGCTTTTCCCTGAGGGGAGCATCACACCCAGGAGCCAGGGGGCCCAGGAGAGCCCCCAGAGAAAGACCCGTACTCAACAGGGTCAAAGTCTGAGGAAAGGCATTAGAAGTAAGGAGGAGGAAAGCAATGAAATGCAGTGGAATACACTCAAGAGGCTCTGTTAGAGGAGGAGGATGCAGGAAGAGATGGGAACTCTCACAGCCAAGGTGCATGCAAACAAGTGGACTCAGCAGGAGTCAAGGGATGAGGCCCAGGAAGCCACAGACAAGGCGACTGCTAATGGAAGAAGGTGTACACGTCACAGGGGCTGGTATCACCCGAGGTCAGGAGGGCAAGCACACCCCTCTCCCAGAAGCTTTCAATGGAGTCACTGGGTACGCAGACAGAAGTTGATTTCCCTGAGCCCACCATTCTAGGCTCACCCAACCAGTCCCAACAGTGATAAAAAGCTCCCACCACAAGCAATAACCGGAAGTATCCGTGTGGAGGGGTCATGATAGCCAACACCAGCTTTCTACTCAGGCCAAGAGGGAGACTGCTACCACACTCATCTCAGAGGCTCCTTCCCACCTTGGCTTGGGGCACATTTGTAAATGAAACAAACTTGTTAGTCCTCCCTCAAGTTCAAGGATATCTTCAGCTCCCAAACCCCCAGCCTCAGACAACAAGCAGGGTTATTATTTCTCCTCCTTTAAGACAGGGTCTCCCCTCCGCAACCCTCTCGCCAGGGCTGGGTTAACAAGCCAGCACCGGCTCCTAGGAGGGAGAGGCTGCTACAGCGCCCAGCCACTTTTGTCAGGAGCCTTTGACACACAGGGACAGAAGTGCAAAAGCGAAGCAGACCTCTCCAGAGAATTTATCTTCCTACTGTCCTTCCTTTTTCGCATCCCCACAAAATGGGTAGTTCAGCCTGTGTCTTATACCTAGCCGGGAACATTCCACACAGTCCAAGGGCACTAAGTGAAGACGCTTAAGAGGCTGGACGACACCACACGGCTGACACAACCATGCGTCTTTGGCTCTTTTCACCACTTTAATGGGTGAGGGTGGGTTCTCTCTCTGAGTCAAGCCAAGGCCTGCCCACCCAACAAACCAGTCCCTGCGGCCAGGTGGGCCCCTACCTGCTTGAGCAGGAACTGGTCCTGGGCGTTGGTGTGCAGGGCAATAGCCAGGTGGAGGGCAGACAGGAGCACCCCGCTGAGGACCGCGGCCCGCATGCGCACGGGCAGCAGTGTGTAGATGGTGTAGATGAAGAACACGGTCCACCAGATGCCCTCGGAGGCGCTGCGCGGCTGGGGCAGCAGCAGGCCCACTACCTGCACGGCCAGCACCACGGCGATGAGCGCATAGCAGGCGAGGCCCATGTGGTCCTGGTGGAAAGCGGCGCGGTTGCAGAGCACGGCCATGAGGAGGATCACGCCCACAGCGGCCGCCAGCACGGCCAGGTAGGGCAGCTGGAGTGGCGGCCGCGCAGCGTGGAAGGCCAGCATGACGAGGCACACGAGCACCAGCACGGCCATGAGCATAGTGAGGCTGCTCTGGTTCAGACGGAAGAAGTAGCGCTGGTACAGCCGTTCCAGCTTGTCCGACGGGAACTTCTTGGAGCGGAATATCTGCAGCAGCGCCAGGCAGCAGGCGCCCAGCGACAGCACCGCGCCGGGCCCCGCACCCGAGCCTGCCGAACTGCCACCATCCCCGGACCTCTCGTCGCCCTCGACGGCGCCGGCCTCCAGCTCGTCGGCCGCGCAGCCCTTGCCCCGCCGCTCTTCCAGGCCCAGCTCCACAGAGCGCGGGCGCACCTCGGTCCCGCCGGCTGCGGCGGCCGCCGCTGAGCCGCCGCCGCCACCCGCAGGGGGCGCCCGGGTGCTGCCCCCGCCGGCCGCACCCCGCCGCTGCCGGCGGCTGCCGCGGCCACAGTCGTCGCCGCCGCGCTCCTGCCAGGCCGACTTGGAGCGGAAGCTGAAGCCGAAGCCCGCGGCCAGAGGGTCGTCGCCGCCCAGCGGAGGTTCGTCGTCGTCGTCGCCGCGCCAGCGGCTGGCCAAGCGCTGCTGCTGCTGCGGGGTCACCGCCCCCCCGGGTTTCTTGGTGGAGCCGCGGGCAGAATCCCCAGGGGCGTGGGGATAGCCATTGGCGCGGGAATTGGCCTCCCCCCAGGCGGAGCGGTGTTCCTGGCCTCCCCGGGAAGCCGGCGCCGCTGCTGTCTGCGCCGCGTAGCCCGGAGGGCTCACGCTTTTGGAGACGGACATCCCCCCCTCGGCCTCGTCGTCTTCTTCCTCCTCCCCCGGGGGCCGGGCCGGGGGTCTCCAAGGGGAGGGCGGACGGCCGAGCAGGGGGACCAGGCTGGGGTCACACGTCGGGGGAGGCCCGGGGCCCTGCGCAGCAGCTGGGCATCTTGGCACCCCCGTCCTGAGCGGAGAAGGAGGCAGCAGGAGGGCGAGTGGAGAGGCAGGCACAGCCCCGAGGTGAGAAGTGGCTGAGAATCCGCGTCCGGGGTCCCAGGTCCGAGATGGTGTTGGCTCCGAGCTGGGGCAACAGGGACTGCTCAGGCTGTTGGGCTGCGCGCAGAGGAACGTCCAGACTCCTGGCTCGCGTCGAGCTCGACGAGGACCAGAGTTGCGGACGAGGCGGGACAGAGAGGTGTCCTTGCGGGCGGCGCCTCCCCGGGGCTGGCAATGCCCGGGCGCGGCGCTCGCTGATTCTGCCTAAACGGAGCTCAGCTGCACACTCGGCGAGGCAGTGGCTAGGACGGCTCCACGGGGGTCCGGGCGTGGAGACCGAATGGGTGCCCTTTCCTCGCGGCGGACTGGGAGCGAATGGGAGGTGCGGGCGCCAGCCAGCATTATTTTCTTACGAGGGGTGGGGAGGTGGGATGGGGGGTGGAGAGGACGGGGGAGGGGGCGGCGGGCGGAGCAACAGCTCCGGAGCCCTGGGGGGAGGGTCCTGGAGCCCTGGGGGGCCGTCGCCCGCATCCCCCACCTCCTGCGGCGAGAGTGGGAGCGTGGCCCCCGCGAAAGCAGAGCCGAGCCTTCAGCGCGTCCGTGCAGGGGGCGGGGGCGAGGACCGGCTCCTGCGGCGCTGCTCTTCGCCTCGAGCCTCCCCTTTCTCCCAAAACGAAGCGGGGCTGGCCCGGACCTGCTGGCCCAGGAGGGCTGTCACGCCAGCTTCGCAAGCCCCAGGCTCCTCGCCGCCGGCTGCGGGCCCACCGCGGCCGGGCGCCGAAGGACTAGGCGGAGGGCGGAATCCGAAGCAGCGCCGCCGCCGTTCTGCCCCAACGCAGTCGGGCTTCTCCCCGGGAGCACGACATCCAGAGATCGAGGGCCGGGGCTCAGGCGCAGCCGGCGGAGAGGGACCCTCCCAAGAGCCGCTGCGCCCCCGGAGAGCTCCGGGGGAGCCCGCGGGAGCCCGGCTCAGGGCGCGCCAGGCATGCCTCGGGCCCAGCGCCGCTCCGGCCGCTCGCGCCGCTCCTCCCTCCTCGCCCGCCTGCCGCCGCCGCCGCCGCTGCCGGAGCGCCCTCCGCATCCCCTCCTCCCGCCGCCTCCCCGCCCCCCGCGCGGCTCCGGCCTCGGCTCACAGCGGCGCGCGGCCGCCTCCGCCCCTGGCCGGACCGCGGCCCCCTCCTCGGCGCCCCGCAGGCATCCTCAGGCTCGGCCCGGTGAGGCGCCCGGGGCCGCAGGGGTCTCAGCTCCCCTTCCTCACCTAAAATGCTCGCCGCGACCCCTCCCTCCCTGGCGCCTGGAGCTTCCGCCAGCCCGCGGTTCCTTCGCTGGACCTGGTGGTGTGAGGTCCTCCCCCACCCCCTGCTTGGGTTCCTGCGCCCCTAGTCCCAGCTCCCCTCTTTTGTGTCCCCCTTCAGCCCCCCTCCCCCTATTCAACCCAACTTCAGCCCCCGCGCTGCGCCCCCCTTCCCTGACCGGGCTCGATTGGCCGCTTCCAGAGCTGTCAGACTTGAGTCCAGAGCTCTTATTGGGCGATTCTCTGGCCAGGCGACAGTGCCAAAGGAGGGAGCACTGGGCTGGGGGCGCCGGGGCAGCGACCGCCGCAGGGAGCAGAGACCCGAGTCCCTGGAGGGGCCGGAGGGCCGTGAGCCAGACCCGAAAATGGACATGGAGGATGGAGAGGCTGAGGATCTCTGAAGAAGGCAGTGACGGAAAAGATGGAGATACAGTGGATGAGGCGGATGCAGCCAGGGCGGGGCGGACAGAAACACTTTGGTGGGTAGTCAGAGAGGAAGCCCCACAGCCAGCACTAGGAACACCTGGCGTTTATGAGGAGCTATGCCCGTTTATACTTAAAAAACAAAACAAAACTCGTTTGTGGGATGTGACAGAAGACAGGGCCGGTGATTTTTCCCAGTTTATAGATGCGGCAACTGAGGTTTCAACTTGCCATGAGTCACGCAGGTTCCCTAACTTGCAATCCAGAAATCTTTTATCAGCGCCAGCCTGCCTCTCCTACCCAGAAATGTGTTAGCCAGAAGGATGCACACCTCCTGGGGACGGGGGCGGACAGAGAATGACCAGACAGGCCTGCACAGCGCCAGCGACAAAGAGGCAGGCGTGGAGAGAAGGACTTCACTGTGGGTCAAAGAGGACCTAGGCCTGTGGATGCACCCACCCAATTCCCTTGCCAGGCAGTTGCCCTGCTGGAAGTTGTGGGGGGCTAAGCACTGGGAGGGGTGAGGAGACCACACCTCTCCCTGTCTAAGGAGAAACAACCTTCACTTCACTCTTCCTCCAGCCCTCACTGCAGAGCTTCCGACAAGGAGCCTAGAGGTCCCAAGTGAGCTTCCCTTCCTCTGAGGGGCATCTCTTTGCAGATTGGAAGAGAAACCTTGCCAGAGTTACAAATTGGGAGGAGAAACAGTCCAAGAAGCCTAAATAAGCTAACTCCTGAGTAATCCAACCTTTAAGTAGTCAATCTATGATTAGCTAAGTCATAAAAAACACCATGAATTTAACCAACAAACATTCATAGAGCACCCCTTATATGCAAAGCACTGTGCTGGGTGCTACTGGGATAGAGATGACCCAACTTTGGATTCAGTCAGTGTTTAACAGAGGCCCAAACAGAGCATTCTTGGGAGTCAGAGAGAGGAGGTGTTAATTCCCACTGTGAGAGCCAACTAAGACCTGGAGGGCAAATCTAGGGCTAGCAGGGAAAGATGAGTGAGAAGAAAGGGAGGGTGGACTGATATTTATTAAGCAACTTCTGTATGTCTATAAATATTTTACTGTCAAATAACCACTTTGAGGAAGGTGTTATTCTCCCCACTATGAAGGGGAGAGTGAGACCTAGAGAATGAAAAAGTTTGCCTAAGGCCCACAGTTGGTAGCAGAATGGAACCTAAGTCAGTCTGCTCCTTGTACACTGTCACACAGCCATGTAGTAAATATGATATGAGAAGGACACACAGACAGGCAACTGCATGGACAGAAGCCAGATGACCTGAGGTATCAAGGTTATTTGGTTCCATCCTTGATCCACTTCTTATTAACCATCATAAAACAAAAGCCATGTATGATTAAATGTAGAAAAAAAGACAAAAGAAAATGCATAATCATTACCACCTGGGAAGAACTATTAGCATCTTAATTTTTTTTCTTAACAAAAAATGGGACTTTTACTCTACAGTTTAGAATCTGCTTTTTTCTTTTGAAATTTTGTGGATGTTTTTTCATGGAAATCAACAAACATTTCTGTACAATATCTAGTTTATTGTCAGAATAGAATTCAGTTGCATGGGTATAACATAATTTATTTAACCAGTTCCCTACTGTTGGACATTTTTCACTGTCACAGAAGTTGACCAGAGTTTCCACTCTTTTGCTGTTGTATCAATGAGCATTTTTGTAGATAAATCTTCACACACATCTTCAATTATATATCCTTAGGAGAAATTTCTACAAGTAGAATTGCTGGGTCAAAGGATAAACATGTTTTTTCTCTAAGATAGTTCTGCAATCTGTATCTTCAGCCCCTGCCTCCCTTCCCGGTTCCAAGCTTACTCCTGTCCATTGGAGAGCTCCCTATGGATGCTACTTGGTGCCAGCCAACACTCCAGATTCAAGTTGTCTAAAACTAAGGTCATCACCCAAGTTTACCCCTTCCTCTATTTTCTAACTGCTTGTAGAATTATCACCCCCACCCCACACACAGCTCCCTGATCTTAGAGCGAAGATTCATCCTCCCCTCCTACCCCAGTTCCCAGAATCCTGCAGCCATACCCTGTCTTTTCATGCTTGTTTCTTCCACACTCTCTGGCTACTATCTTCCCCTAGACCCTCCCCTCTCCTTTCCTGGACAATTAACAACTCTCCCTCCCCCTCCTTCTTTGCCCTTCAGTCTGTCCCCCAGTTTTGTCCCCATCTGATCATGCATGTTATATACCTCTACTGAAACTATCCACAAAATAGCTTCTTGATACCTGCCAGCTCTGTCAACCACTTCCCCATGCCATCCAACCACCTTGAAATGCTCTTTAAACCTCTGCAGAGATCACTCTCCGCACCTCCAGCCCGCACAAATCCGATTTATAGCACCTCTGCAAAGCCCTACCTAATGCCCCTCCCCTCCAGCAGGCTGTTAGGCACTCCCTCCTCCGCAGCTCCCAGCACACCTTGCTTTTATCTGTGTAATAGCACTTGTCACATTGTATTATTTTGACTTGTTCTCGAACTGTCTCCAACCCTCTGAACTCCTTGAGGGTAGGGTTGGTATCTTACTCATTCTTGTGCCTAGTGCTTAGCCTGTTGCCTGGCACATAGACGCCCCATAGCTGTTTGCTGGATAAACAAATGATATATCTGGGGAATAGCAACCAGGATGGAGTCTAAGGTGTGTGTAGGGTGGGGAGGGAACTGGCAATGGTGGGTGAAGATGGAAAGGTGGGTTGGGCTCTTGAATACTGTGCAGAGGAAGGTGGGCTTCAGCTTAAAGATAATGAAGAACCCCTGAATTTGAGGACCATGGTTTGCAGAGGTGAGGTGACTACACACACCCCAGGGGACAGCAGACCCTTTGGGAGGTCTGCACACACCTATACCCCACACCAGCCATCTTCCCCTTGTGCTTCAGGTATCCTTTAAGACTTCATTCTTCACTCCCTCAGGCTTCTTTCTGGAAGAATATTTCTATTTTGGAGATTAGAATATTAATAATTTATAACATTAGAAGTATTTCTAGAAGAGGGTATCAGTAATAGTTCCCTACCTAAAAGTACCTAAAAGTACTTACTCCACACTGCTTGAAATTCCACCCTTAGATAGTCATGCTTTGGGATGACAATCATTCCCTAAAAATGAATACAGAAAATCTAGAGACAGAAAGTAGATTAGTGGTTGCCTAGGCCTCAGTGATGGAGGAATGGGGAGTACAAGGGTACAAGATTTCATTTTGGAGTCATAAAAATGTTCTAAGATTAGGTTACAGTGACAATTGCACAACTCAAGAAATACGCTAAAAACCATTTCATTACACACTTTAACCCAACCAGGTGAATTCTATGGTATGCAAATTATCTCTCAATAAAAATGAATGCAGATACCCCTAGAGATTGAAGGATTTATGCCAGGCCTGTCAGTCATCAGTCCATAGCAAGTCATTCTGAATGGGTTTACTCAGCAGGGTTCCCCCACTAAGGCCCAACCAAGGTGGGGGCACTAAGAGAATGGATGCTTGCTACTTAGAAGTAGGGATAAGTTAAGGAGAGGAAGGAGAGAAGAGATGGGACCACTGAGCATTTCCCACGATGCATGGAACCAGAGAAGGGTCGGGGTGCCCAGGAGCAGAAAGGAAGAGGGCAGAAATGAAAGCTGATTGGGATTTGGGGATCAAAAATGAACTTTGCCTACTGTACAGGGGAGCCCTGACCTGTAATGAGTTCTTCACACATAACTAAGGAACTCTCTCAAGGGTGAAAGAATCTTAAAGATCATCCTATTCCCAAAAGTGTGTCAACCTCTCCTATGGCATTTTTGAGAGTAAGCCGCATCCTTCAATGATTTAACTTTTCACGAAGAACCAACCTACTGATATCCCCAAGTCACAGTCGCTGACAGGATGAAACATTAGGTGTCTTGAGAGTAGGTCATCCATAGGCTTAAGGCTCAGTGTCTTAACCACTGGGCACAGGTGGGTGACTGAGATCCCTGGGGGCCATCCTTCCCTCTAGCCTGTCCCCAACAGGGACTCTGAGGAGGAGCCAAGGACATCAGCTCTCTTACTATTGACCTCTGGTGTCCTTGGCTTGGAAATCATGGATGGTAAGAAGTTTGCAATTGGCTATGGGGTACCCAGGCCCTAGATTTTTCCAGACCTACACTCACTTCCAAACTTGTAGACCTCAGGGAACAGGAATTATGCAAGAGCTCAGATTGTAGCTGAGGTGGAAGTGGTTGATAATGGCTGATCTGCCACTCTCCGGATACTGACATTTAACCCATCCTTTCAATTGCTACTGGAGGTGAAAGGGAGACCCTTGGTGGCCCAGGACCTTTTAAGACTGTATCTGATCCATGGCAGCTGCAAACCTTTGGACTATAGAACCCACATTCCATGCTTTATCTTTGTTTCAGTTCTTGATTTTCTTCTCTTTCTTGCACACTTTCTCCTGAGTCTGTTTTTCCTAAAAGTCTAGGAACATCCCCATGAGTCATTTATTCTTTCAACACACATAAACTGATTATCCTTTTCAAGCAGAAAACTGTGCTGGGCAGAGTTGAGTGGGGGGAGAAGTATGCCAGCAAGATGCCACCTAAAAGTCAGAGGTGAGGAAATCACAAAAAATGAGAACAGCAAAGTCAGCAGAGGCGGGCCACACAGCTCATTCTAAGTGTTTCTTGAATATTCCAAATGAGAGGCTGTGAACTAATAGGAGAAAAATATTCCTGTAGATTGAGGGAGCAAGATAGGCTTCTGGGAGGGAGAGAAGGGCCCTTAAAGTATGCATAGGAGTTGGACATACAAAGACTGGATGGATGGAGTTTTGAGGATTAAAAACATTCCTCTAATCACAAAACACCACATATTGCATGATCTTATTTAAATGAAATATCCAAAAGAGGCAAATCTATAGAAACAAAATAGATCAGAGACTGCCTAGATGGAGGGTGGGAAGTAACTGTTAACTGTTAACTGTTAACAAATGCCAACTGTCAATGATGATGAAAGTGTCCTAAGATTATGCTAAAAAACAGTGAGTTACACACTTTAAGTAAATGTCCCTTTATGCAATGTAAATTGTATCTACTAAAGTTGTTAAAAAACAGGGAGGTGGGGCCCGAAAAGATCATTCCTTCTGTAACTCTGCTTCATAGTTACAGAAGGAATATCCTTGTTTTAAGTTCCTAGCCTTTTCCTGTATGAAGGCCCATTTTTAAGGCAAAATATTTTCGAGGCCCCCCAAAGTGGTGTATATGAGAACCTTTAGTTAAGAAAATACATAATGGTAAAAAAATATTGTAAATTTGGTAATTGATTTAAATGATACTTTATTAATCCCAATAGCATGTACACATTAGAAAAAATGGTTCTGTATTGGTAGGGGGAGCATGTTTATTATGCCTACAGACAGGGTTTAGTAGCCCTTTTTCAAGATCTCCTTGGTTTCGGGGGTCCTCAGCCTACAAGTTTGGAATCCTGGCCTGTGCTCTAACAAGAGGTGTTAGGCTCAGCTTCTCTGCCAGGCAAATACTAGTGGGTGGGGACCCATTACCAGAAAATGCAACACAATCTCTACCCGCTGATGTTTCTGTGTCTTCAGCCCCTCATCTGAAGTGGTACCCTTTGTCCTTCCAAACTAGTGGGCTTTGCTGAGAGCAGATCCCACACAGAAAAGCCAGAGCCATGCGGGCCAGCAGACACTTGTCTCTAGCAAACGTAATTAAAGGCAGCAGCAAGCAAGTGCCTATTAATTTTTCATTAGAAAGTCAAAAGCAGCCTCTTAGAAGGCAGCATCACTGAACTTCAGCTTTGGTAGTTGAAGCCAGGCTTTCTCCCCACTGTGTATATACCCATTTCCACAAACGTGGGCATGCACACGTGCACACACACACACACACACACACACACACACACACACACACAGTTCACAACATCTTTTTTGAGTGGAGAGAAAGACCACACCCCCATTGTCTTCAGAGGTCACTTTGCCCCATCCCCTCATCTCAGATCACCCCATGTCTATCTGCACATGTAACTGACAATGTGTATGGATCTTATACAATATACTGGTTGTCTCCCCAGCTTGTGTTTACATCATTTTTATAGTTTGAACCCTATTTTTGATACTTTTGGGGAGCTTGCCATTCAAAGTGCTCTATGGTGAAAACTTTTGTAAAGAAAACACAATACTTACTCCGGAATGTGTTCATTTTATAAGCTGGGCAATGTGAGGTAAGAGGAGGAGAGCTGGGGCCTGGGGGCGGATGCGGCCCTAGCGGCTGTCTCCCTGTGGGTAGGCAGGGCTGACTGAACCGCCTCCTGCAACAGTTAGCTCCTCTCTTGCCTTTCCTGGTCCTGCGGCCTTACTAAGGCAACCCACCTGATGAGAAAAGTCTCTCCACTTAACATAAAAAAGCACTGAGCAGGACAGAGCTAAGCTTGGAGTCTGGATACCTGGAGTCTCTATACCATCCCTTGGGCTTTCTGGCTATATGATGTCTGATGAGTCACCTCACGTCTCTGCCATGCAGTCCCCAGCAAGGATGACAATGCTTTCCTACCCCGCTTGATGACTTGTTATGAGGATTGGGACAATGATGCGAAATTCCTTTTCAAATCATTCACCCTTACATAAAATGGGAGTCATGCTTCATAAATAGCGAATTAATAAATTCATTCTTAATAAATCCAGGTGTTCATTTAAGAGGATAGCATGAAATGAAGTACATCTCTGGGTCTCGGGCTCTTGCCTACATTTACAGATGACTGTGATAAATATTTTTATGTCTGTGCTGTGTGTGTACCAGCTTTTCTAGTAGTCTGGGAAATCTGCCCTTTCATCTCTGCTGTGTTCAAAGCAGAGCCTCCAGGGCCATGCAGATGAGGTCTCTGTTCTCAAAGACATTCCCTCTTTCAGGATTCTGGCAGACTGCAGCCTGTCTGCTGGGGAGACGGGAGAGCTCCATCCTCCTCCTGCAGGCATGGGTGGTGATGAGAGTGGCCTGTGAGGAGCTTGAGAGGTGCTGAGTGGTGTTTCTGCTCTCAGTGGCCACGCTGTTTGGCCTTGGGGTGGTCTTATCCATCTCTGTGTCACTGACTTTGAATCTGTGATTGGGGACGACAAGCCAAGCCACATTAGAGATTGTGCTGGGGCTGGCTGACCTTCCCCAAACCGGGATAATCTCTCTCCCTGGCAACAGACAGAGGCACCAAGGGACAGTGACAGATTGTGAAATCCTGGGGTTGGGCTTTCTAGAATTACTTAAAAAGAGAAAATAGTAACAATACCTTGCATTAGAATATTGCTTTTAAAAAGAAAGGAGATAGTTTTTAAAAACTATTCCAGGGGCAGCTTTGGAATTGTCTGGTAGAGAATGAACCCGGAGGGTAAGAAATGCATTGTCTTATTCTTAGCCACTCAATATCATTGACAATATTAGGAGAAATCTTTTTCTCTTTTCCCCCATATGGGGATGCAGAGGAAGAGAGAAGTGGAGTGACTTGATCAGTACCATGCAGCATTAGGGGAAGACTGTGACCTAACCTTGACATTTTTGTCAACCAAAAGGCAGAGAGAATGAAGTTGAATGACCTAAGAGTATGCTTTGTCCACCTGCATTTGTGGCATGTAGACAGCTCTGAGTCAGACTTTGTACTTGGTCATCTGAGGCATACAGGAAGGAATATGCCTGTACTTATAGATCTCAAAGCAATGAAGAAGTTCAGGGGTGGGGGCATGGGAAAAAGTGTAAACCTTTTGCAAGATAACTACCTGAGACGAGGCCACTAAGCTATCTTTTAGCAAGGTAACACCAAATTTAACAGGCAGGAATGGATGAACCAATGGTTTACTTCTGTTGCTTAAGGAGTTTTAGTGATGCTGAAAGATTTTAAAGAACAATCAGCGAACTCTGGGCAGTGGACTAAATGTTTTTATAAATAAAACAGGCCACTGCCTGTTTTTATAAATAAAGTTTTATCACCACACAGCCACATTCATGTATTTGTTGTCTCAGCCTGCTTTTGTCCTACATGACAGAATTGAGTAGATATGACAAAGACCAGATGGCCTGCAAAGCCTAAAATATTTACCATTTGATCTTTTAAGAAAAAGTTTGCCAAACCCTGCCCCACAGCATATGCATAAAAAATTAACTCGGATTTATCATAGACCTAAATGTAAAGCCTAGAACTGTAAGAAGAGTACATAGGAGAAAATCTTTGTGACCTTGGGTTACGAAGACTTCTTTGATATAATATCAAAAGTACAATTCATTATTTTTCAAATTATTCAAAACATTTTTTGATAAATTGGACTTCATCAAAATAAGAAGTCTTCAAAAGACATTGTTAAAGAATGAAAAGATAAGACATAGACTGGGAGAAATTATTTGCAGATCACACACATATCTCATAAAGGATTTGTATGCAGCATCTCTAAAGAACTCTAAACTCAGTAATGAGAAAACATCCCAATAAAAATGAGCAAAGGATTTGAACAGACCCTTCACCAGAAATGGGTGAAAATATATAGACATCGCCTAAGTACATGAAAACTACATCATTAGCTACCAGGGAAAAGCAAATTAAAAGCACAGTGAGAAACCACTACATACCTTTTAGAATAATTAAAATTAAAAGGTGACCATGCCAAATGTTGGACAGGATATGAAGCAACTGGAACTCTGTACACTGCTGGTGGGAATATAAAATGGTGCAACCACTGAAAAACAGCCTGGCAGTTTCTTAACCAATTAAGCATCCACATACCATATAATCCATCAATTTCACTCCTAGGTGTTTATCCAAGAAAAATGATAGCATATAAACATAGATCCACATAAAGACATGTACACTAACATTTATAGTGGCTTTATTCATAACTAGAAACAACCCAAATCAATCCATTAATAAGTGAATAGATAAAAATGAGTATAGCCATGCAATGGAATGCTACTCAGTAGTAAAAGGGATAAACTATTGACAATAAACCCCAAAATAATTATAACAATTACTCTGAGTGGAGGAAGCCAGGCAGAAGTAAGAACATACTGTGTGATTCCATTTATAAAAAATTCTAAAAAAGGCTAATCCGTAGTGATGGAAAGTAGATTAGTGGTTGCCTGGGAAAGGAAAAGGGGCAAAGAAGAGCAGGAGGGATTTGCAAAGGTACCCAAAGAAATTTTGGGGGGTAATGGATGTTTGTGCTCTTGATTGTAGTGATGGTGTCACAGGAATGTGTGTGTATATATATGTGTGTCAAAACTTCAAATTGTACACTTTAAATATATGCAGTTTATTTTACGTCAGTACACATAGCTATATTGACAAAAAAGCTATTTTTAAAGATTGAGGTATAATTGACATATCACATTATATATAAAGCTATTTTTTTAAAAGAAAGAAGAAAATCCCCTGAGGTTGTTATTTCTTTCTTTAAACACTCTGTGTAGTGGGAAGCAGCCAGCCCACTCCACAGGTTTTAACTCCTTATTCTCACCTCAGTGGTTTATCTCAGCAGTGACTCTGTCCTCTAAAGCTTTACCTTCATCATAAGTGACCACAGGCGACAGCTGTATTGCCATTCTGCCATATGGACTACCAGAATACTATCTCCTAATGCTAATGGGGTCCTTGTTGCCTTTCAATCCAACTAGGTCAGATAGTCAATCTTAGATTCTATTTGCTTGAGAATCTGCTGCATCAATCAGTCTGTTGATAAGAGTTAACTACAGAGAACAGAATCCACTCTAGTTAAAGCAGAAAGGAATGTACTAAAAGATGCTGGAGACAGGTTCAAAGAGGAAGGTCTCAGCCATTTCTGCATGTGGGAATTATCTCAATATGTGGGGAATGGTTGACTATAGAATAATCAAATCGACATCATAGAAGTACGTTTTAATAATGCTTTCCCCCTAATATGTCATAATATCCCAAGTCCTAGTAAAATAAAACTCGACTTCAAACCAGGACGGCTTATTCCAGGGATAATTTTCCTGGGGTTAAGAAAGGACAAGGTGATTCTAGAACATCTCATTGGACTGGAAAGCAAAGATGCCCTGGGAGATGAGTGGGGACGTGTCAAAACAGCACAGGATGCTGCACACTGCACATCTATTAGAACTGCTCAAACAAAACAACAGGAACTTGACAAGGTCCCGAGAGGTGATTCCAGGCCCACTCCAGGATGGCTCAGGGACTCAGCTGTCTGCAGTGCAGGGACATGCCTCCAGGGACCTGGATATGGACCAAAAAGACAGTGCCAGCACCCCTGAGAAATCTTTGAGGAAGCCGCCAGGAAAGAGTCCTGCAGAAATCAGGAACCCTGGGTTCTTGACTGCTGCTGACCTGCCTTTTGCAAGCCCACAAAGCAGGTCTTTTCCCTTCTGAGCCTCTGTGTCCTGTGTGTTCAATAAGCAGGGAGGGGTGAACCCTAAGTTTTCCAGCTGAGTTTCCTGGCACTCTGAGCCTCCTCGGATTGCCTTGGGATACTGCAAAGGGAGCCAATATTAGGGTGAGCTCCACCTAGAACACCCCTGCTTTTATCTGTTGTATATTTGGCAGATAGACTTCTCAACTGACAGACTCAGGAGGTGTAGAAAACATCAAGTCCTCCATTTGCTAAGTTTCTAAATTAATTTCTGACTCCTAGGACCTATTCCCAAAAGCTGGATGAAATATGCATCCCACATATTCTTGGCTCTGAGGTGGTGCCTTGCTTCTGGACATGGGGTGCTCTAACAAGCCCCATCTATGTCCAGTGGCCCCTGTGCATCCAGGTGTCCCTGATGATTCTGTGCCACCCCCAGGACACGGGTACCTTTTGGAAGCTGACCAATGTCCCCTCTGCCTTTCTTTTCCTTATCCCGTAGACCCTCTTTCTAGCCCACCCTTCCTCCTGGGAAAATAGCCTGAAGCAAATTTCCTTCTGTGTTTCTTGAAGATTTTCATTCAATCTATGCCAGTGAGTCCCCACTATGGGTTGAATTGTGTCTCCCCAAAAAGATATGTTGACGTCCAAACCCCCAACACCTCAGAATGTGACCTGATTTGGAGATAGGGCCCTTACAGAGATAAGCCAGTTTAAATGAGGTCATTGGAGTGAGTCCTAATCCAATGTGACTGGTGTCCTTGTAAGAGGAGAAAATCTGGACACAGACAGGCATAGCGGGAAGAAGATGTGAAGAAACTTGGAGAAGAGGACTTAGCCAGGGAGAGAGGCCTAGAGCCGACAGTTCCCTCACAGTCCCTCAGAAAGAGCCAGGACTGCTCAGACCTTACTCTCAGGCTTCCAGCCTCCAGGCCTGGGAGACAATAAGGTTCTATTATGTAAGCCGCTCAGGTCAGGGTATTGTTTGCAGCCCTAGAAAATAAATGCAGACTCCTTCCCCTCTTTTCCCTCCTTTGCAAGCTCTTTAAGTTCTCCTAGGTATTGCTAGTTCTCCTAGCATCTGCTTGAATGGGAGAAAGGGACAGGGAAGAAACCGTAAGTACATATTTCATAACTTTCTCAGCAGAGAATCAGATAAGAACAATGTACAAATCACTCAGCTGATGATTGGGTGCTGCCACTGGGTGATGGTCCAGGGGAGTTCATTCTGCTGTTCTCTCCACTTTTGTGTATCATGAAAATTTCCATTGTAAACCACTAAAAAGGAAAATAGAAAGCATCACTGTACATCACTGGGCCAAAAGATGACTAAGGGGCTTCCATCTCTAAAGCTCCGTCACGGTAGCTTCCATCCCTCTCCTTATCCCCATCAGCCAGACTCTACTGACAGCACAAAGAGCTGCCCCCGCCCCCGATCTCCAGCTGGTGCCACTGACACCAGAGCCCGTGCCCAGTTCAGCCTGGAGACTTCCTTCCCCAGCCAGGCTCCAGCGCCGAGGCCTTTGCAGCCATGGAGCAGCTGAGCCGAGCAGAGCAAGGATGGCGGAGAGACCCTCCTGAATCCCGAACACTCTACAAGCGCTACCACGGCCTGGGCTACCTCGCCAGGTCCTCCCGGCCACTCACTCTAGCTCCTCTGTCCTGCAGGAGCCTTTCCCCCTGAATGGTGTTATTATCATTTGAATCACCACATGACTACTCAAATATTACTTCACCTCACGTCTCTGCCATGCAGTCCCCAGCAAGGATGACAATGCTTTCCTACCCCGCTTGATGACTTGTTATGAGGATTGGGACAATGATGCGAAATTCCTTTTCAAATCATTCACCCTTACATAAAATGGGAGTCATGCTTCATAAATAGCGAATTAATAAATTCATTCTTAATAAATCCAGGTGTTCATTTAAGAGGATAGCATGAAATGAAGTACATCTCTGGGTCTCGGGCTCTTGCCTACATTTACAGATGACTGTGATAAATATTTTTATGTCTGTGCTGTGTGTGTACCAGCTTTTCTAGTAGTCTGGGAAATCTGCCCTTTCATCTCTGCTGTGTTCAAAGCAGAGCCTCCAGGGCCATGCAGATGAGGTCTCTGTTCTCAAAGACATTCCCTCTTTCAGGATTCTGGCAGACTGCAGCCTGTCTGCTGGGGAGACGGGAGAGCTCCATCCTCCTCCTGCAGGCATGGGTGGTGATGAGAGTGGCCTGTGAGGAGCTTGAGAGGTGCTGAGTGGTGTTTCTGCTCTCAGTGGCCACGCTGTTTGGCCTTGGGGTGGTCTTATCCATCTCTGTGTCACTGACTTTGAATCTGTGATTGGGGACGACAAGCCAAGCCACATTAGAGATTGTGCTGGGGCTGGCTGACCTTCCCCAAACCGGGATAATCTCTCTCCCTGGCAACAGACAGAGGCACCAAGGGACAGTGACAGATTGTGAAATCCTGGGGTTGGGCTTTCTAGAATTACTTAAAAAGAGAAAATAGTAACAATACCTTGCATTAGAATATTGCTTTTAAAAAGAAAGGAGATAGTTTTTAAAAACTATTCCAGGGGCAGCTTTGGAATTGTCTGGTAGAGAATGAACCCGGAGGGTAAGAAATGCATTGTCTTATTCTTAGCCACTCAATATCATTGACAATATTAGGAGAAATCTTTTTCTCTTTTCCCCCATATGGGGATGCAGAGGAAGAGAGAAGTGGAGTGACTTGATCAGTACCATGCAGCATTAGGGGAAGACTGTGACCTAACCTTGACATTTTTGTCAACCAAAAGGCAGAGAGAATGAAGTTGAATGACCTAAGAGTATGCTTTGTCCACCTGCATTTGTGGCATGTAGACAGCTCTGAGTCAGACTTTGTACTTGGTCATCTGAGGCATACAGGAAGGAATATGCCTGTACTTATAGATCTCAAAGCAATGAAGAAGTTCAGGGGTGGGGGCATGGGAAAAAGTGTAAACCTTTTGCAAGATAACTACCTGAGACGAGGCCACTAAGCTATCTTTTAGCAAGGTAACACCAAATTTAACAGGCAGGAATGGATGAACCAATGGTTTACTTCTGTTGCTTAAGGAGTTTTAGTGATGCTGAAAGATTTTAAAGAACAATCAGCGAACTCTGGGCAGTGGACTAAATGTTTTTATAAATAAAACAGGCCACTGCCTGTTTTTATAAATAAAGTTTTATCACCACACAGCCACATTCATGTATTTGTTGTCTCAGCCTGCTTTTGTCCTACATGACAGAATTGAGTAGATATGACAAAGACCAGATGGCCTGCAAAGCCTAAAATATTTACCATTTGATCTTTTAAGAAAAAGTTTGCCAAACCCTGCCCCACAGCATATGCATAAAAAATTAACTCGGATTTATCATAGACCTAAATGTAAAGCCTAGAACTGTAAGAAGAGTACATAGGAGAAAATCTTTGTGACCTTGGGTTACGAAGACTTCTTTGATATAATATCAAAAGTACAATTCATTATTTTTCAAATTATTCAAAACATTTTTTGATAAATTGGACTTCATCAAAATAAGAAGTCTTCAAAAGACATTGTTAAAGAATGAAAAGATAAGACATAGACTGGGAGAAATTATTTGCAGATCACACACATATCTCATAAAGGATTTGTATGCAGCATCTCTAAAGAACTCTAAACTCAGTAATGAGAAAACATCCCAATAAAAATGAGCAAAGGATTTGAACAGACCCTTCACCAGAAATGGGTGAAAATATATAGACATCGCCTAAGTACATGAAAACTACATCATTAGCTACCAGGGAAAAGCAAATTAAAAGCACAGTGAGAAACCACTACATACCTTTTAGAATAATTAAAATTAAAAGGTGACCATGCCAAATGTTGGACAGGATATGAAGCAACTGGAACTCTGTACACTGCTGGTGGGAATATAAAATGGTGCAACCACTGAAAAACAGCCTGGCAGTTTCTTAACCAATTAAGCATCCACATACCATATAATCCATCAATTTCACTCCTAGGTGTTTATCCAAGAAAAATGATAGCATATAAACATAGATCCACATAAAGACATGTACACTAACATTTATAGTGGCTTTATTCATAACTAGAAACAACCCAAATCAATCCATTAATAAGTGAATAGATAAAAATGAGTATAGCCATGCAATGGAATGCTACTCAGTAGTAAAAGGGATAAACTATTGACAATAAACCCCAAAATAATTATAACAATTACTCTGAGTGGAGGAAGCCAGGCAGAAGTAAGAACATACTGTGTGATTCCATTTATAAAAAATTCTAAAAAAGGCTAATCCGTAGTGATGGAAAGTAGATTAGTGGTTGCCTGGGAAAGGAAAAGGGGCAAAGAAGAGCAGGAGGGATTTGCAAAGGTACCCAAAGAAATTTTGGGGGGTAATGGATGTTTGTGCTCTTGATTGTAGTGATGGTGTCACAGGAATGTGTGTGTATATATATGTGTGTCAAAACTTCAAATTGTACACTTTAAATATATGCAGTTTATTTTACGTCAGTACACATAGCTATATTGACAAAAAAGCTATTTTTAAAGATTGAGGTATAATTGACATATCACATTATATATAAAGCTATTTTTTTAAAAGAAAGAAGAAAATCCCCTGAGGTTGTTATTTCTTTCTTTAAACACTCTGTGTAGTGGGAAGCAGCCAGCCCACTCCACAGGTTTTAACTCCTTATTCTCACCTCAGTGGTTTATCTCAGCAGTGACTCTGTCCTCTAAAGCTTTACCTTCATCATAAGTGACCACAGGCGACAGCTGTATTGCCATTCTGCCATATGGACTACCAGAATACTATCTCCTAATGCTAATGGGGTCCTTGTTGCCTTTCAATCCAACTAGGTCAGATAGTCAATCTTAGATTCTATTTGCTTGAGAATCTGCTGCATCAATCAGTCTGTTGATAAGAGTTAACTACAGAGAACAGAATCCACTCTAGTTAAAGCAGAAAGGAATGTACTAAAAGATGCTGGAGACAGGTTCAAAGAGGAAGGTCTCAGCCATTTCTGCATGTGGGAATTATCTCAATATGTGGGGAATGGTTGACTATAGAATAATCAAATCGACATCATAGAAGTACGTTTTAATAATGCTTTCCCCCTAATATGTCATAATATCCCAAGTCCTAGTAAAATAAAACTCGACTTCAAACCAGGACGGCTTATTCCAGGGATAATTTTCCTGGGGTTAAGAAAGGACAAGGTGATTCTAGAACATCTCATTGGACTGGAAAGCAAAGATGCCCTGGGAGATGAGTGGGGACGTGTCAAAACAGCACAGGATGCTGCACACTGCACATCTATTAGAACTGCTCAAACAAAACAACAGGAACTTGACAAGGTCCCGAGAGGTGATTCCAGGCCCACTCCAGGATGGCTCAGGGACTCAGCTGTCTGCAGTGCAGGGACATGCCTCCAGGGACCTGGATATGGACCAAAAAGACAGTGCCAGCACCCCTGAGAAATCTTTGAGGAAGCCGCCAGGAAAGAGTCCTGCAGAAATCAGGAACCCTGGGTTCTTGACTGCTGCTGACCTGCCTTTTGCAAGCCCACAAAGCAGGTCTTTTCCCTTCTGAGCCTCTGTGTCCTGTGTGTTCAATAAGCAGGGAGGGGTGAACCCTAAGTTTTCCAGCTGAGTTTCCTGGCACTCTGAGCCTCCTCGGATTGCCTTGGGATACTGCAAAGGGAGCCAATATTAGGGTGAGCTCCACCTAGAACACCCCTGCTTTTATCTGTTGTATATTTGGCAGATAGACTTCTCAACTGACAGACTCAGGAGGTGTAGAAAACATCAAGTCCTCCATTTGCTAAGTTTCTAAATTAATTTCTGACTCCTAGGACCTATTCCCAAAAGCTGGATGAAATATGCATCCCACATATTCTTGGCTCTGAGGTGGTGCCTTGCTTCTGGACATGGGGTGCTCTAACAAGCCCCATCTATGTCCAGTGGCCCCTGTGCATCCAGGTGTCCCTGATGATTCTGTGCCACCCCCAGGACACGGGTACCTTTTGGAAGCTGACCAATGTCCCCTCTGCCTTTCTTTTCCTTATCCCGTAGACCCTCTTTCTAGCCCACCCTTCCTCCTGGGAAAATAGCCTGAAGCAAATTTCCTTCTGTGTTTCTTGAAGATTTTCATTCAATCTATGCCAGTGAGTCCCCACTATGGGTTGAATTGTGTCTCCCCAAAAAGATATGTTGACGTCCAAACCCCCAACACCTCAGAATGTGACCTGATTTGGAGATAGGGCCCTTACAGAGATAAGCCAGTTTAAATGAGGTCATTGGAGTGAGTCCTAATCCAATGTGACTGGTGTCCTTGTAAGAGGAGAAAATCTGGACACAGACAGGCATAGCGGGAAGAAGATGTGAAGAAACTTGGAGAAGAGGACTTAGCCAGGGAGAGAGGCCTAGAGCCGACAGTTCCCTCACAGTCCCTCAGAAAGAGCCAGGACTGCTCAGACCTTACTCTCAGGCTTCCAGCCTCCAGGCCTGGGAGACAATAAGGTTCTATTATGTAAGCCGCTCAGGTCAGGGTATTGTTTGCAGCCCTAGAAAATAAATGCAGACTCCTTCCCCTCTTTTCCCTCCTTTGCAAGCTCTTTAAGTTCTCCTAGGTATTGCTAGTTCTCCTAGCATCTGCTTGAATGGGAGAAAGGGACAGGGAAGAAACCGTAAGTACATATTTCATAACTTTCTCAGCAGAGAATCAGATAAGAACAATGTACAAATCACTCAGCTGATGATTGGGTGCTGCCACTGGGTGATGGTCCAGGGGAGTTCATTCTGCTGTTCTCTCCACTTTTGTGTATCATGAAAATTTCCATTGTAAACCACTAAAAAGGAAAATAGAAAGCATCACTGTACATCACTGGGCCAAAAGATGACTAAGGGGCTTCCATCTCTAAAGCTCCGTCACGGTAGCTTCCATCCCTCTCCTTATCCCCATCAGCCAGACTCTACTGACAGCACAAAGAGCTGCCCCCGCCCCCGATCTCCAGCTGGTGCCACTGACACCAGAGCCCGTGCCCAGTTCAGCCTGGAGACTTCCTTCCCCAGCCAGGCTCCAGCGCCGAGGCCTTTGCAGCCATGGAGCAGCTGAGCCGAGCAGAGCAAGGATGGCGGAGAGACCCTCCTGAATCCCGAACACTCTACAAGCGCTACCACGGCCTGGGCTACCTCGCCAGGTCCTCCCGGCCACTCACTCTAGCTCCTCTGTCCTGCAGGAGCCTTTCCCCCTGAATGGTGTTATTATCATTTGAATCACCACATGACTACTCAAATATTACTGACCAGCTCTCAAATTATCTTCGGGGACATAGCTACCTCAGCTCTTGACCGGTACTCTCCCTCATCAAGCCCTCCTTGACCCTCCTCTCTGGGTCAGGGTGAAAGAAGCCATGGAAACAGTATTATCTGTGATGTTTTAAATGAGTTGAGGCTACCACTGGCACGAGGACCATGTTCCCCATGCTGGTGGTGAAGCTCAGTAGTTCTCAACTGCATCCCACTTCAGGGGCCGCTCTTTAGGTTTTCCCTCTTAATACCTCTTCTAACCTCACTCCTTCCTTTACAACCCACTAGTGTTGACATTTCCACTGGCAAAATTAGAAAAGGAAAATGGGCCTTTCATGGAACTGATTTAATAACATTTTCAAGAAATGGTCCTTTTATTTTAGGATTGTGTTCTTCCTATATACTGGTCTTAAAATGTTTCTTTCATGAGTTGGTAGCATCAGTGTATCACAATTTATCAGTCAGGGTTTAACTGCAGGTATAGCAATCACTGAGTTATTTTAAGCAGAAAAGAATTGAATACAGGAATTTAGGACTTTACAAAATCATTGGAAGGGCTGGTGGAGAAGAGGTAGGCTGGGCTTCCAGGGACTCCTCCCCAAAGTCCTGCCATCTCTGCCATGATCAGGAAGCCACTGGTCCCATCTGCCAGCTCCAGGACCACATCCCTTTGGCTGTGCTCCACGTGATTCACATCAGCAAAATCAATGTCATGCATCTGCCCTCTTGACACCCCCCAGCACTAGAGCCTGGGCCTGGGATCTCTACTACTGCCATCCAAGAGAACCAAACATCTTAACCCCTGAGCTAGCCAGGAGAAATGGTGGCCACAGCAAAAGCACCCGCCTGGCCACACTTCTGCCATCCCAACGGCACATGAGCGCAGGCCTGGTAGAGGGGGTCTTGTGCAGACCAGAACAGGAAGTCCTCCTACAGTGGAGGGTGCAGTGGCTTGAACCAGTCTGCAAGATATGTCACAGATGGTAGTTTAGTGGGTAATTCTGTGGCTGAACCCCTAAATTTTACTCATTTGTGAAATCCCAGGTCCCTGGTTGGTGGAGTGGGGGAGTCAATCTGCTACAGCAGCTCTAGTGAAGACAGAAACTAAATGACTTAGATTCACACCCAAATATCCAATAAATGTGAGAAGAAGTGCTCCTCCTCAGTAGTCATCAAGACAGTGCAAATTAAAATCACAATTAAATTGTGATTAAAATCCTCACTACACACCTACAAGAATGACTAACATGGAAAAGGGACAATACCAGGTGTGCACGAGAGGGTAGAGCAAGGATAGCTCTCGTTCACTGCTGGTGCACTGAAGAGACAGATGAGATGAAGAAAGATGTAGTATCCCTGCCTGTGGGCAGCATACTGTCCTGGAGGTGACAACAACTATTATTTATTGAACATCATTATTTCCTGGGCATGGTTCTGATCTCCTTATAGCATTGTCTCACTGAGGCCTTTAAAGGTGCTATCTGATTCCCATTTTATCGATGAGGGAACTGAGGCTCAGAAGTTTAAGTGGCTTGTGTGGCAGGCCTTCTAGGATGGCCCAGTCTTCCCCTTCTCCTCACCTTCACATCCCTTGTGCAATCCCCTGTCATTTGAGTGTGGGCTGGACCTACTGCTTTGCTTCTAATGAGGAGAATAGGGTAGAGGTAATGGAATGTCGCTTCCAAGACTGAGTGATAAAAAGACCTCCTCTTGGGTGCCCTCTTTGGTGGGTCCCTCCCCTGGGGGAGCCAGCTGCCAGGCCGTGGAGAGGTCTGCGTGAGTGAGCTTAGGCACAGCTCCTCCCCAGCTGAGCCCTGAGATGACTACAGCCTTGGGTGACATTTTGATGGCCGCCTCAGGAGAGCCCCCAAGCCTGAAGCACCCAGTGAAGCTGCTCTCACATCCCTGGCCCTTGGAGCTGTGAGATAATAAACATTTGCTTTTTAAGCAGCCGAATACTGGGGACCTTGTTACAAAGCAGTGGGTAGCTAATACGCTTGCCCATCCTCATGCAGCCCGTCTGCAATAGAGCCCAGGAAAGTCTGACTCTGATGTCCATGCTTCACAGCACTCCCTGTACTGTTTCTCCTGTGAAAGGAACACAATCAGTGCTTGAACTGAACCGAGACTACCCGGAATTGATGAAGAGGGTGAGAGCTGAGTAAGCTTGGGCAAGAATCTTAACCATTCTGTGCCTCAGTTTTCTCATATATAAAATGGGATGGTAGTAATACCCAATTCTATAAGGTTGTTGTGAGGTCTGAATGAGTTGATTCATGTGAAGCTCTTAGAACATAGTGAACACTCAATAAGAGTTAACCCATCATTAGTGCGAGGGGAAATAATGTACGCAGATATTAAATGAAATAATGTTTGCCTCAGTCCATGCTCCTCTGAAAATGCAGTGTTCTCATTTGCAAATGGATATAACAATACTGTCATTCTTTGGCCTTGTAGTACAGTGCCTAGAATGTACTAGAATCTTAATAAATGGCACCCATTGTAGGACTACATTGACTAATGTTCTAACAGTAGCACATGGAAGATGGGTGGCCAGTGAGTGCTGTTACAGTGCGGTCTCTGTTGATCCCACTCACCTGAGACACTGCGCTGGGGCATGTGAGCTGGCTGAAGGGGGAGGGCCATGTATGGGGCAGAGAGTATGTGCTTCATGGAAAATCCAAGAAGAGGCTAGACCTCCCCCCTGGTTCTGGGGAATGTGCTTCCTCAGAGCACTAGCCAGCTGCTAATAGGTCCTCAATGCACCAATTAAGGGATTATGTTAACAATCCCAAGAAGGAAATTGGTTCCATGAAAATCCCCAGGTCCCTGGGGCTGACGGGCCTAATAAGTCCCAGCACAAAGGACACCACCATGTCTCATTCCAATTGGATCTTTTTTGCATGGTTTGTGCTCAAATGCACTCCAAAAGAAAGAAATAAGTAAGAAAGATGGACCTTATTCTGCAGCCCTATGTGGAAATACTTGAGAAAATGTGATGACCATCTTTGTTCAAAGATTTGGAGATTAATGAAACATGTATGTATAACTTCCTCTAGCAATTTCTTGTTGAGTTTTTTGGCATTTGAAGTGCCAGATACCATAAACAAGAAAATGCAAAACAGCCCCAGTTATACTGGAATATACTATTTAAAAAGTACTACTCCAGAGCACCCCAAATACTGCCATTTTCACTGGGGTCTGACAGCATTGGCTGTGAACTTCAGGGCTGTGGTCCTGGCTGGGGCAGACCACTTCCCTGCTCTGAATTTTCTCATCTACAAAGTATCAGGCTTGGATCTATCATTGGTTTTCAAATTGTGTTCCTCGGAGTTCCTGGGTTATATCAATAAGAGCTGCTCCCCTTTCGTCAGCCTCACAACTAGATTATGATTTTTTTGAAAAAGGGATTTCCCTGCTTAAAAAAAAAAAAAAAGACATTTGAAAGCTACTTTCTTATATCATCTCTAAGTTTCTGTCTAGTGCTGATATTGTTAGAGACTGTGTTCAAGAGGAGAGGGAAAGGGGGATAAAAATGGCAGAGGAAACATAGGAGTCAGACTCAAGGACGACCTTCCCTAACAGCAAAGAGCATGCATCACTGTCAGAAGTAACATGGGAGGAGGGCTAAGGAACTTTCGTTTGCAGAGATCTTTGAGAAGAACAGCAGAAGGGCTCAGATGCAGGGAGAAACTATCCTACCCAGGGCTGGGGGAAGATGAGATGATTCCATGGTGGGAGGATTCCACGGCCCTGTGAAATTCCTATGTGCGCTGAGCAATTCCTGGATGGGGAAAGGCCCTGCTCACCACAAGGCAAAGTCTATTTGCCACATTTCTTCCTTTCTACCTGGCCTTACTCCTCCCAGCTTCCCAGGCTGAATTATGCATTCAACAAACAGATTCCATGAGTTCGCCTACTACGTGCCAAACAGTATGAGTGCGGGGGACACAGCCGTGAACCAGGCAAGAGTCCCTGCCCTCTCCGAATGTACACTCCGGAGGGTGACCCGGAAGCTGACCTACAAACTGGGACACCTGTTCCAGGGCTCTGAAGGAGAAGTAGAGCAACAGGAGCAATTGCAGGGGGCTGGGACCCTGGGGGTTACTGCGCTGGGTTCCTTTGAGAAGTGGCATTTGAAGGAAAATCTGAAAGAGAGTGAGGATTAACCCGGGGTACCCCTATAGCAGGGAGGGAGCGGCAGGGATGCCTCCCTGCACCCCCATGCATGCACAAAGTGATTGTGTGCTTTAGCTCATTGCCAAGTTCTATGGGAAGGAATCCGCTCCCTGGGTTGTCTCACTGTCTGGACCAGCTCCCCTGCCTGTCCTTCCAGCTCATGCTTCTCAAACCTGAGTGTGCACCAGAATCGCCTGGGTGCTTGTGCAAATACAGGCTCCTGTCCCCCCACCGCCACCTGATTCGGTGTTGGTGAGGCTAGTGCTGCTTCCCAACCACATTTGAGAAGCACTGCCTGCTCCAGGGTCACCTTCCTGTTGAGGTCTCTCCAGACACCCAACTTCAGAGAGACAGGAGACTCCCAGCCTGGCTGGGAGGTCAGAACAAAAGTCCCAGTGACCCTGGGATCCTGGGAGTGTTGTCTGGGGCAAGCTGCCTGGAGAGCAGAGCAGCCCCCTGTCATGGGATGTGGGGAAGGTATGGCAGAGTGTGCGCTGTGAGTCAACTCCTTCCACCTTTTGGGGCCTGCTTCACACTGAGGGTGCTTGTGAGAAGGGTGGGGGAAGGGCAGCAGGCTTGACCAGTGTGTGGTTGCAGAGGGACCATGGCACACAAGGAGCTCCACCAGACATGTGGGCTTTTTCCTTTTTTTTTATGGAGTGGGGAGGCCTCTGGAAGCTGTGTTCTATGTTCTGGCTCCTAAAAGAAACTATCTTATATGGTGGAAGAGTGTTGACTTTGGAGTTAGCCTTATTAGACAGAACTATTGTTTGCTTATTGTGTGACCACAGCAAAATTACTTAATGCCTCTGAGATGTAGTTTCCTTACTAGTGGAATGAAAGCATCTCTTCTCCCTGAGGGCCTGACACTCAGGCTGCTGGAGGAGAGAGAGTCCTTTCCTTAGCTAAGTCCTCACGAGGTGTGGCTCAGGGTCCCTCTGCAGACGGTGTCCATGCTGATGCTTGTCTCCCTCTCCCCTCCCAGTGCAGCTCTCAGGCGGGGTCTGCAGAGCCTGAAATCAGCAGAGAGAGCCTCCTGCTTTCCCATGGGAGCTGGGCCACCTGGCCAGGGCTCAGCCCCCGACCCTCAGGATTTCTGTCTGCTCTTCACTAGCCCAGAGACGAAGCCCTGCTGGCCAGTGAGGCTCCCCTCAGGAGGGATGGCAGCAGGGAGGGAGGTCACTCGGCTTTGCAGGCCCATTTTCTAGCTGGAACAATGTCTGGTCGATGGAACCAAAGGGAAGGGTGTTGGAGAAAGGTTGCCCCAGCAGAGGAAGGCCCAGCCAATGTACGAGCTTAGGGTTTGGAGACTCCCCAGTGGGGACTTGAAGCCCAGCACCAGCATCTGGCCCAAAGCTTGCTCTGTGGCATGCTGTTCACCCCAAATAGCATGCCTCTTTGGCTGGGAATAAAGTCAGTGCTACTCATTTGTACCCCTCCCTCAGCCTATGTCAGGGCCCCCTCAAAGCCCCAGGAGAACAAGACTGTACCTGGGTGTGAGGTGGTCCTGGGTATAAGCTCCACATGGGGCTTGTCCATTTCCGCCTTGTCTGTGGGTCCATCCTTAGCACCCAGCACAGGATCTGGCCTGGAAGAAAAGCTCATCAATATTTGTTGAATGAATGATAGACAAGAAGGCTCTATAAAGTAGTGGTTTAGGGCATGAGATCTAGAGTGAAACAAACCTGGTTTCAAACCATCTCTGACCTCACCAGCTGGGTGTCAGAGCCCCGTGGTCCTCATCTGTGAACAGTGATGAAAATGACGGCACCTGCTTCCCAGGGCCGCTGGAAGAGCAGGTGAGACCAGGCCTGACAGTGTGCGTGGAAGGGGCTGAGGGCAGATGGGCTTGTCAGGGCCTTAGTGTGGTGGCTGGGGCACAGGGCAGGGGAGAGGGGAGGCGGTCAGGATCTCCAGGCCTCCCAAGGGGCTTCTTCAAACCAGTTGGGGTTGAAGCTTACTGAGCAGAGAGGTGGAAGAGACTGTTCTGCAGCATGAGAAGCTAGAAAGAGTCTAGGGGAGAGAAAGGACCCCCACAGCAGGAACGGGGCTGAAAGGGCTGGCTGGACCCGCATAAGTCATGGGGGTCCCACAGGGGTCTTCTCCAGCTCCTGGAAGTGTCAGGGTCGCAGCTTGCCTGGCTTCTCTCTGTGGCTTCCGCCTCCTCCCAGCTTGGCTCTCTGGCTGGAACCCAGGAGCACAATGGCATTTCGAAGGGGCTCAGCACTGTAGAAACCAGCGACAGGAGAGACACAGAAGGAACGTGAGAACGTGAGGAAGGCAGGGGTGAAGAGCAGGTGGTTCAGTGGCCAAGCCTGTGGCCAGTGTGAGGAGGAAGGGTAAGGGGGTGGGGGCCAGATGGATCCCCTTGAACTTGACACCCCACAGCTGGTCATCCCCCGCCATCCCGAAGCTTTGGAGCCAGATGACATCCCCCACCGCCCCAGGTAAGTAAAGGGGCTGGCCCCATCCTAGTGCACCTGTGAAGGGGGCATGATCTGGGCTCTGCCAGAGTATACGAGACTCTTACCCAGGACAGCAAAGGCTCCATACAAGACACTTCTTAGCAGCAGTCACCAGGGCCACTCTGTCCAGGCAGCAGGCTTCCACTGGAGGCTGGGCCAGGTCCTACCAGCCTTCTCCAATTGTGAAAGTGGAGGGGAGCAATGGGCCTTCAAATTTTGTTTTGTTTTGTTTTTGTTTGGGGGGTAGTAGAGATATAGCAAACAGAGTTAAGCAGTATAATTAAATGAAGCTTATAATAAATTAATCTGCCAGATAATTATGTAACTGCTATTATTTTACATGGTAATTAGTCATAAATCATAAACAGTCCACAAAAACAAAGGTAACTGGTGTTCCTTTTACACAGCCAAGCCAGCAGGTCTCCTCCGTCTGGTTGGGTCTCCCGGATGTCGTGGATCCCTACGCTCCCTCACACTCAGCCGCTGACACTCGCTTGCACCTCCTGTGGCCCCGAGCCCCAGTGCCTTCCTTCCACTCCCCCGTCATTCCGCAGGCCCACCCTGTCCCCAGTGTGAGGGGGCCTGGGGCAGTACATTCAGCCTCTCCTTAATTTCTGCTCTGACCTTTAGGCTGTCCTCCTCCTTCAGTTTATCAACAGATAGCTGTTCCGCACCCCCAGATGGCAAGGTCGGTACTAATGCTGGGAGACAAAGGTGGAAGGGACCAGTCAAATGGTCAAGAGAAAACTGGGAAACATTTGGGCATATGATGATGACATATGCTTGCTCTGTGATGTCTCTATGCACGTATTATTGCTCGTGATCAAGATATTTTTGTAGGACTCAAAAGTGGTTATTTTTTTAGAAAGAGATGAATAAGATCCAGCTTTTTATCCAGAGGAGCGAATGAGCTGACAGAGGAAACCAGCCTCCATCCCTCTTGATCAAAGCCCTGGAATAAAGCTGGAAGGGTCTACAAAAGCGAGTGAAGCAGCTGTGTGGGCAATGGCTCTGTTTGGGTCTGGGGCACAGCTCAGAGCAGGTTTCATTGAGTGACATGTTTGAAGGATGAGGAATGACAAAACCAGCTAACATTTACTGAGCACATACCACATGCCAGGTGCTGCTCCAAGTCTGTGCACGTACTAACCCACAGTATCGTGAGGCAGCTGCTACTCTCGTCTGCCTTTTATAGAGGAAGCAACTGAATATAGTGGGTTGCAAGGTGTCCCCCAAAAAGGTAAGTCCAAGTCCTAACACCGGTCCCTGTGAATGTGGCCTTATTTGAAAATAAGGCCAAATATAATTAAGAATTAAGATTTCATCTTAAAATCTTAAAATCAGATTACAGCTCATCACAAGATGAGATCATTTTGGGTTGAGGATGGGCCCCAAATCCAGTAACTGGTGTTCCTATGACAGAAAGGGAAAGAGAAGGAGATACAGGACACAGAGACATAGGGGACAAGGGCCTGGGAAGACAGAGGCAGAGACTGGAGTTAAGCTGCCATAAGCCAAGGAAACCCAAAGGCACGGAGGCTGGAAGAGGCAAGTAGGATTCTCCCCTACAGCCACCAGAGCGAGCGGGACCCTGTCCCTAGCTGGGTATCAGGTGGCAATCGTTCTCTGGAGAATCATTGGCTGAGTCACTGTGAATGATCTCCCCTTCTTTCCTCCCACCGCCGAGGTCTTCAAATCCTCATCAGGGGAGGGGAGGGCTACCCCCACTTCCCTAGAGTGGCATCAGCTGACCCCAGGAACCTGGTCCCAGACTCACTATCCACTCTGTGTATGCCCAGCCCGCCAGGAACAGCCTGGCCAGGAGAGCAAGCAGCACCTGGGGTCGCTGCGTGGGGAGTCCTGCAGGCTGACCCAGGCCCTAGGGGGAGGAGCTCGGTTCCTGCCGTAGGCTGGGGTCCCCCCGCCAGCACAGCAGCAGCAGACTAGGGTGCGTGTCCTGTGGGGAAGAAGGGAGGCTCACCTGGTGGGCTGGGCTGGCCTAACCTCAGTCATCAGGAGACTCCTGGGCCTTTCAGATGGACAGGGCTTCGAGCGGGGCAGGCTCAGCCTTCTGGGCTTGGCCGGAGGCTGTTCTGTGACTCTCTGTTCTGCCATGTTCTCACTCCCTCCCGTATCCTGATTCTCTGAGAGGGCTGGGGACTGGTGTGCTCCTCGTCGGGAAGCAGTTCTTGCTGCAACAGGAAAGCAAGTTTGGTGTTCTCACAGCAGACAGGAGCACAACTGAGGCCTGAAGAGCCCAAAGGATGGGAGGGAAAAGTGTGGAGAGGCTTGTGGAAAAGAAATCATGCCACCTGTCCCTGGGCCCAGGGTGAGAGTGAGGGAGCTAACCCAGGGACACGCTGCTTTCCAGACAGCCCTGGGTGCCCTGAGCAGCCCCACCCAACTCCCAGTGGGAACCCCTCCTGGGTGTGCGGAGGGCCCAGCTCAGGGGCTCTGCAGGGCCACATGAGGTTTGTCAGACTCCAGGCAAGGCAGACCCAGGCAGACTGTTCTCTTCCCTTCATTTATTCTCTCCATCTCCGCCTGGCGCACACCCCCACCCAGGGTAGTCACTAAGTCTCTGCTGGCGTCTGTGCAGGGAGGCAGAGTGGCTCCATTGGGTCGCTTCTGGGTATGTTCTCTTCTGGAGCATAGGATGGATGTCAGTGCCCTGAGGCGGCTGGAGGAGCCTGCCAGTCTCCAGGCAGGGGACCCAGGCTGCAGGAAGGAACTGCCTCAGACATGCAAGCAGGCCGTGTGTGGCCATTGTCATTTCGTGGGCACTGAAATGGGTTTATGTTCCACTGTGCAACAGAGGAGAGAGGATTTCATTGTTGGGCTCTTACTTTCTCTGTGATGGAGAGATCGACTTAAACACACGAGTGGGTTCATCATAATGGTGGTGCTTGGGCCGTACCGTCACGTGGTGCTCAATGGTGACCAACCTGGCAGCCAGGCTGGGTGGCTACAGTGGGAGATGATTCCAGATGGTGAGTGCCCAGCAGGGACACCTATGGCCTTCAAGCTAAAGCACATAATGAATGCAAGTTCTGGAACACCTCCAGGGTTTATGTCCAGGAACTTAAGCTCTTTTTTGCCTTGTTTCACCATCTATAAAATGGGAGTCTGACAGTATTGACTTAATAGACTTGTCGGAAGAAATACATGGGTTAATGTATGTGAAAAAGTATGAACAGTGCTTGGCACATAGTAAGGGCTAAGCAATATTAGCTATGACTCTTCAAAGGTCCCCCTTGCATTACGGGCCTGCAGATGTGTGAGTCACTGTGCATTTGGAGGATGTGCTTATGGGTCTCCGTATTTCTGAGTCCCCTGGTAACACTGTCATTATGATAATATCATTCAAAACCTGCCCTGGGTAGTGTTGCCTCAGAGCAGATGACAACCTGGGGAGACTTAGGGCTGCAGAGCATGGACCTAATCGCTTCTGACCCAGGTCTTTTTCTCTCACCCTAAATCAGCCTTTCCTGATTTATACCTTGCACTCCATACTGTCAGCTTTTACTCCTGTATCTACAGATTCGCTATCACATGAGCACCTCTCACAGGATTCCTCTTCTCTGCTCAACTAAATCACATGGTGTCAGGGCCAGGGGTTGCCTGAGAGGTTCCAGAGTTCACCTCCCTCATTGTTCAGAGGACATCGGGAACCAGGCGAGTGGCACCTGGGGACAGAGTGACACAGTGGGGACTCTGTGACATGGCTCTTCCACTGTGCTGGTGCCTCCCAGGAGGAGGAGGGGTGGTTTGCATCTCCCCTAGCCCATGGGGTTTCCATCAGACCCCATGACTGGCCTCCAGCTGGAAGCCCCAGGGAAAACATGCTTGTGGCACTGGGCTGGGGCAGGTTTGGAATTGGTCATCAGGAGGGAGGAGGGGAAAGCATGGCCTGAAGCCCTGGCTTGTCCCACTGGCTAGGCCTCCTGGGGTGGAGTGGAGCCCAGTCTGGGCCTGACCAATGTCCTCCAACCACATTAGACTTGTCCTTTGAAGGAGTTCTTGCCCCCAAGGACCAGAGGCACCATCACCTCGGGCCCCTCTGGGAGCAGCCTATACACTTGAAACTGTGTTCTGGGACCACAAGAGAGGGAAGCAGCAGACATTCCTACAGTTGGGAGAGAGGCAGCTAGGGCCTCTGCTCTGCTCTGCATTGGAACACATGCAAGTCCTTTCAACCACTGAATGAGCTGAGCAACAGCTCATTTAATCCTCACAGCAACCCTGCAACTAGGTATTGTTTTGTCTTTATCTTACATGTAAAAGAGGCTTAGGGAAGTGGTGAGGGCAGAAGGTGGAGCAGGAATCACTCAGGCTTGACTCCAAAGCAACATGATGCTGTCTCCAAGGAACCAGGCAGGGGCTGGGGAGGTTGGTGCAGGGCCAAAATAGACTGCACAAACCAATAATACAGAGCACTAGAAAGTGGTATAGAGGAAACAGATGAGCTTAGGAGACCAAGGCACACAAAGAATGAGGACTTCCTGGAGGAGAGGGAAAAATGATATCCTCCTTCATGCCCTAGGGCAGGGGGTAGATGCCTGTTTTACACTTACTCTGTGTGTATAGGTGCCTGCGAGTATAGATCTGATCTAACAGGAGAGCCTAGACATGTGGGGCTGCATATCCAAAACCATCCACAGCCCGGACAGGGAACACAAGTGGAGAACCCACTTGTTGAAAGTCAACAGCCTCCCCCTTCATCCTCATGTGCCCTGCAGGACTGAAAGAACTCCAGGTCTTTTTTGCAAGAGAAGCAGGAAATTAATTCTTTAGTGTGAACTCTCTTAATTTAAAAATGTTAGTAACTAAACAATTTAGAATTATCGTTTTAGAAAAAGGAGAAAGAAACACCACACTCAGCTAGCAGGCTGCTGGGATGCAACCTCTCCTTTATTGACCTTGTCTCCAGGATGGTCTCACCGCCAGACTATGAGCTTCCCCAGGAGAAGTGCGCAGTGGTAGGGTTGAGAACTGAGAGCCATGAGGAAGAAATCCAGGTTTCCAGAAAGAAAAGGCTAAGATCAGTGCATTGCTACCAGAGGATGCAAAAGAGGCATTCTCCCTTTGGCCACTGAGGTGCCTTCTACTGTTTCTCCACCATCCCAGTCATACTGGAGCCCTCAGCTCCACTCAGAGGGCATGAGCATTATAGGCGCAGGAGGCTTAGTTGGGCAGAGAAGGAGGAGGGTTGCTTGGAGGCGGTGGGAAGAAGTAGCTTAGCCTGGTTGCTGAGAAGTGAATCACATTTCCATGTGATGGGTGCAGTTCACACTTTGTAAGGGAACAGGGAGCAACTGGAGCCTGACTTTTCTAAATATACCATGCAAGCCAACAGCCGCCTGGCTCAAAATGAGATTCGACAGGAGGCTGGGTGAGCGCTTGGGGTCCACATGCAGGCTGCATCCCAGGCTGAACTTCTTTCACCACGGACAGGGCCCAATGCTGGAGGCTGGGTCTTCTGGAAGGAGCCCGCAGACTTCCATTCCAGGGTAAATAAATACCTGTAGGAACTCCAAGAAGCCCTCACTGGCCATAGTTAAATTGCACAATCATGGGCTTCTGTGGCCAGAGGCAGCCACTTGAATCCCGTGGCAGCCTTCCCTCCTGCTGTGGCCCTCAGGCCTCACAGGGCTGCCAAGTTGTGTCTTCTAAGCTTCCAGGTGGGAACAGTGTCCATGAACCCACCCCAGGGCTTGGGAGGGTCAGTCTCCCCCAATTTTACAATCTCCTTGAAAGTCCTAAAAATCATGTGTGGGGAGCTGAAGCCCTGCCTCCCTTGGTGGGAAGTTCAGGTCCCCAAGGAGCATGGCATGCCCTCATTGCCTGCCCAGGAGTGCCCTGCAGGGCTGTGCTGCAGGAGGGGGCAGGGGGATGAGCAACAGCCTAGCTCTGCCTGACCACCTGGGTCCCTTGCTCTCCCTGGCATCAGTTTCCAACTCTGGACGAGTAGGGGGCTAGACGTGCCAAAGCCAGCGCGAGGCCCCTCCCGGCCGTGGTATGTCATGGTTCCTATGCACCACGTGGGCTGGGGTTTTGGGCAGGTATGGGGGTTCAGTGACAGTCTTCCATAGAGCCGGTGGGGCTGCTCAGTTTCTTCCTTTGGGTACGAAGTGAAGCAGCCCAAGCTGCTGGCAGGTTATGATCGGTGCCTGGAGTTTTCAGGGAGAGTTGGGGCTCGATTAGCTGTCCTAGTGCTGGAGGGGTGCAGCATGCCAAAATGAGCAGACATGTAGGCTTTAGACTGTGGCCTGCAGCACGTAAGCGTATGTCTGGCCCTGCCCAGCCCTCTGGTCCCCGGCTGCTGCAGACAAGCAACCAGCAGGCCGCGGGGCTGCCGTATAACCAGACGCTCGGAGGCTAGCAGCTCTGCTGGTGAGAAGTGCCTGAGGAAAAAGGCTGAGTCCTGGGGAGAGTTTTGAGCTCAGAGCCCCGGTGCTCACACACAGAGGTGCCTGGTAGGGGGCTGCAAACTGGAATCCTGGGACCTCACCTCTCAATCAAACCCACAGGGCTCCTTGGGAGCCAGGTCCAAGGGTACTCCAAGGGCACAAGGAGGAGTGAATGTCAGCTGTGCCCTTTGAGAGACAGTGTGGCTGGCATTCCCGTATGACATTCACTCTAGTGGAACCCCCAGTCCCTGACCAATGTCCCTGTGCTCCAGGGAATAGGGAGGCAGCATAGGTGAAGGGAAACCATTGTGGGGCTTGGAATCTGTGGGATCCGGATTGAATCCCGCACCCATCACTCCTCCTCAGGTCTGCGCCTGAGCGCACAACCAGAGCAGCAGGCCTGGCCCTGGCCAAACGCATTGCCTTTCTACGCTTCTTCAAGGAACTGAACAGTATCTGAAACAACCCTGTTTCATCATGATTCCTGCCAGTCTCCCAAACCCCATGTTTGGGGCCATGTTCAGGGATCTGGACTTTACACCAAGAATAAAAGAGAGTTACGGAAGGCTTAAACAGGCAACAACATGATAATATTTGCATTTTTGAAAGGCTATTCTGGCTGCAATTGGAGAATGATTTGGGGGGATGGCAGAGTGGAAGCTGAGAGTCAGTTAGGAGGCTGTTGCCGCCGGCCAGTGAACATGGTGGTGACTTATAGAGCACATCAAAGGGCCAGATCTGTTCCGGTAGCCCTGGTCAGGGGCCTCAGGTTCGAAGGAGGAGTTAGGATAGAGCTCTCCAGATCAGGAGTCTGCAAGGCAGTGTTCTTCAGAACAAGCCCGGTACCAGAATCACTTGTGAGGCTTCTGTAAAAATGAACCCAGAGCTTCATCTCCAGTGATTCAAATGGGGGTCACAAGGAGCCCAGGGCTCTGATTTTGTCAAGCATGATACACTCAAGCATGACAATCTCTTAGTCAAGGGATAGGCAGAGGAGACTGAGAAAGCTTGGTCAAAGAGGCAGTAGAAAACCAGAAATGCAGGCTGTCCAGAGCAAAGATCTTTGCGGGAATGACATGGGCTTCCGTGGAAGGACTCCAAAGTCCCTCTTCATTCTGCCCAGCACATCTCGGCTCCTCCCCAGGGAAGGGGAATGCTGATCTTAATGCTCGGTTTCAAGATCCCGATGGAGCTGCATCTGCTAGTGAGAGTGAGGAGAGTCAATGGGCATTAAGAGGTCAGTGTATAGGGGCTTGGGTCTCTTCTGGCTCCTTTCTCTCTCCCTGCTGTGTCTGTCCTTCCCAGCTGAGGCCCCACCAGCCTGGGCCCAAGCATGGTGGCACGCACTCAATCTTTCCTTCTTCATTGGAGCTGGTGGTAGTGATGGGTCAGCCTTTCTCCCTATCACAGTGGTAAGACAGGGATACAGTATGTCTGGGATGGAGAATGGGGTGGGCTGGGCTGGCGTGGGAGGTGAGCTGAGCAGGCCTCCCAGTTTCTTTAGTTTGAGCTACCACCTCTTACTAGTTTAGAAAGCAGGAGTGTTCTATGCAGTTCTCCTAGCTTACCTGACCACTCCCCGGGGCTCGAGCCACAGTTGACCAGTGTATTTTATGTCAGCTGGTTTGCCACTGTTTTTGTTCTGTTCTGTTTGCATACACCTCCATTAGGGATGCATGGAGGAGACAGGAGAGTTCTGGACCAGGATTGGGTATTGCTGGGCTCCCCCTCCAGGCTACTCCAAAACCATGCCATTATTTCTAACATCCAGCAGGATGGCACCCCAATTTCAACTAAAAGGCAAGTGTGCACTGGATTTCATAACAAGGGGGTCCCTAGTGACCTCGAACAGAGCCGTGCCACTGTTATGTTCAGGAGAGCCGGGCTGCAGTGAGATGGGAACACAGGGAGAGGTGAGCTGCAGAGAAGGGCGTGTGGCTGACCCTGCCAGAGAACCGAGAGAGGGTGGGAGGACCACGCGCGTCAAGGCCAAGACAAGAGGGACCTGACGCAAGAGCTGGCAAAAGCAAGTAAGAGAGGATTAGATGGCTACAGGGAGGTCTTTGAGAGGGTGTGGGTAGAAGGGAGAAATGGAAATCTAGAGCACAGGGAGCGATTAGCTTTGGCATCAGGATCTTGCCACCGAGCATTAAGATCAGCATTCCCCTTCCCTGGGGAGGAGCCGAGATGTGCCGGGCAGAATGAAGAGGGACCTTGGAGTCCTTCTAAGGTAGCCCCCTCCTATTCAAACAGGAGGACAAAAAAGGGTGAACCTGGCATAGGCAGATCTATAGATCTGGTGACAGAAAATTGATGGAATTGCTGTCCGATGGCTGTTTCTCTGTGAAACTGGGGAGCTACCCTGGACTGAGAGTGGCAGAGGTCTAAGCAGCACGCAGTGCAAAGGGAATCACGAACAGCAGGTGGGGCAGGCAGCCCCAGGTGTTGTTGAGAGGCCGGACAGATCCCCAGCCTGGGGTTTTGCCATGAGGTGCGATGGGAGGGCAGGGTGGCATGAAGGTTCGTGATAATGGTAAGAAGAATCATGGTGTCTCGCAGGAGGGGGCTGAGGGGTCGTGGGAAGGCAGTTGGGGAAGACCGATGGGGAACAGAGCAGAACAGCCGGGAGCCTCAGCAAGGCCTGGGAAGGAGTGGGCAGAAGAGGGCACACACAACCCCATGGCGGCCCTGGAAGGGGGGCAGAGTGCCTCACTGTGCAGCCCCTGGCAAGTCAGCTGCCATCGCAGCCTCGGTTTCCTCTGCACAGTGCTGGTGGGGGCTGTTCTGGTTCGTGAGGGTCTACGCGGAGAGCTGGCATGGGTAGTGCCACCCAGAGCAGAAGGAACAGAGGGCGCAAGAGGCCCTGTTAGGGAACAGGACGTGCCAGAATCACATAGCTGCCCCTTGGCCACATTTGGGAGTGCGGGTGAAGTGTGACGGATGGTCTCCTGACACCAGGAGCCGCGAGGACACGGGGCTGACTAAGCAGCTCTGACAGCAGGCACTTCAGTCTACGTTCAGAAACCAGATGCAGGCTCAGGGGAAGCAGCACGTGGGCTGTGCCCAGGTTGGGGCTTTAAGCCTGTGAGACAGCTTGGGGGTTGCTGGTCCTGAGGTTTTCTCATGGACCCCTTTAATATCCACCAGAAAGCAGTAAATGGTAGAATCCATTCGGGGCTGCTGACACCTGGTTCTCATCTAAATTCATTTGCCTATTTGATGACGGTAGTTGATTAAAAAACAAAAAAACAAGGAAATCTCAGATCCCAGGCTAAGGGTCCATCTCGTTTTTTCCCTGGATTGGTTAACACGCCCTGATGGGCAAAGCTGCCAGGAAGGAATGAGTATTTGCCAAGGTATGCAAGGAGCCTTAGCCCTGAGGATGTTTCAAGGATTACAGTTGGAAGTGGCTATGGCAAACCCCGCACTAGCAGCCAATCTCTTGCCCAGTCGCAAACTGCATTCACATGCCAACAGATCTGAAAAAGTTTAACAGGAGAGAAAACTATGTTTCAGCTTTTGAACCGGAGAATCTCCCCACCCCTCCCTAGCCCACCCATAATCTCACGATTCCTCAGAACTAGTATTCTGTGATTTCATCTGACATACACCAGCTAGATAAACAGAACGCTTGCAGTGGACCATTATCGGCTCCAGTCAACTAGTATGGTTGTTGAGGATCATTTGTGCCCTTACATATCTATTTGGTACATCCAAAATTGGTATCATTTAAGCGGCTCTCTCTTGAGGAAGGCTGTACGCTTGCTAGAGGAATAATAATCCATGGCACAAGTAGAGGCATTTTAAGTCTGAGAAAACCCACAGCCCAAGAGTTAAGTTAGATCACACCCACAGGATGTACTGGGCATGCTGCAGACAAGCATTCTCAGGGCCAGACACAGCCTTATAAGGTGGCCTGACATTTTTTTCAGGGCCCAGGCCACCCTCCAAAAATATCCAGGGACAGAGTGGGAACTGACCTCCTTGAACGTCTCAAAGATTAACAAGCAGACTCTCCATTAAACAGGAGCACTAACACCTGCTTTATGAGCAGCTCTAAAAATCCTCCATTTCCAAGCCAAGCAGCCTGCAGGGTAGGTGCTGGGGAGGGCTCTGCAGCATGAAGAGGATAGATGGAGCCTCGAAGCATGCATCCAAGCTGGTTTCTTTGCTCTAAAAAGTGTTATATCCTGTACCTCTCCAGAACGTACTGTAAGATCTGACGGCCTTTGCTTTATATGGACAATAGAGATCTGTGACTAATTTTTATTAGAGCTTTTTTATGCCTTGTCTGCATCCTTGGGCTGAAGCGGAGTTCCAAACACCTGACTCCCAAGACCCCAATTGCTTGTGAAGTGCTGCCCCCTAGTGGTGCCATCTGCTACAACAACACAGAGGCGGAAATGGAGTTGGGGCTTCAAGCGAGTTCAGCATCTGGAAAGGCATCTGGATTGCATCCACCAAGGTGAAGGACAGATGCGAAAGCGCTGCCGTGGTAATAAGTCTATACTCTGGAAATGTGTGAGTGGAAAACACAATTGTCAAACATAAAAAGATTTATGGAATGGGTATTAGTACTTACGTACACCGCCTCTCACACATTTTATTTTTGCTCATCAAATGAGAGACTTTAAGGGTGAACTGCCTTTCATGGGAAAACAGATTATTTTTGGTAATGAGACCTGCCCTATAACATTAAGGGGTAGCTCTCTAAACCTGAAAAGAAAAAAAAAGACTAAGTAATTTCTCAAGTTTTAAATAAAGTGTTGGTCAAAACCCCCACAGCTCTCTCTTCTAACTCTGGTTATCAGTTGAAGGCAGAGGAATGTTAATAGGTATGGCTATTTTTGGTAGCAGTTGTTTAGAACAGTTTCCTCACCACAAAACTGCATGGCAATGAGCCAGTCTATTTGTAAGCTGGGATTTTTTTTTTTAATAAAGAGGAATTGCAAAGCTAGTCTTCATCCTTGTGAAAGGGAACAGAACAAACACAGCAGTATTTTTGGAATGATGTAACAGTAGGTCTCTTAATTGTGCTGATGGTAACTCCCTCAGGCTAGAGCTCATGTTAACATGGCACATGTAATTGCACAAAATATGACGATGACGAATTAGAAAACCCTGGTTTCCCCTTGCTACTCTAAGATTATAAAGGTTGTATTTTCTGGGTAGCCTCTACTATGTACTTTACTATCTGTTCCTCAGTTTCAGTTGAAATAACTTTCTTTTCATAAATGAGAAGCCCATCTCTGAAACAGATTAGACTCTATGAGGAGAGAGGTGGTTTTAACCAGTGTGCTCATAATATCTAAGCTGTCACCAGACAACATTTAGAAAAAACCTCCCCTTTTGGAATAAAGACTGTATTTTTGGACAACAGTGACGGTTAACTCTAAGGCAGACCTGGAAGACTCAGGTGGTGGGCATGTTACTACTGCTGGAGGCACTGGGTGATACTAAGAGATGACCCAGAAATCACCCACTAGAAAGTGCCCAGCACAAAGAATACATCAGTGTTTTCATTTTGAGGTGAAGAAATTTGGGGTCTAGAATTAGCAGGTCAAAAACAGCCCAGCTGACAGAACCCCATCAGTGTCCCCCCTTCTACCACTTCTTACAGTGAATGACATAAAGCTGTTCCTAGAACTGTTCTGTATTTGGAGGCAGGTTTAGGGGACGGTGCTTGACCATAACTTGTTCTAAATAAAGATGAACTGTGCTAGGCAACAGTATTTCCCCTCTCAACTTGTATGAGAAAAGTTAGATTAAAAAAACATTGTTAAGACAAGGGTCCTCAATCTTTTACCTATTCATTTCTTGGTTATTTACACAAGGAGGGCTTGTCCCTCTGCAGCCAGGCTGGAGAGGGGCTTGGTAAGCTTGAAGACTAACAGTCAGAAATAATGACTTTTGGAAGCCTCTTAATAGGTCTATTTTTCCTGTAAATGCAGAACCATTATGAAAAGCAGAAACAGATTTTAAAAGTATCAAAGAAAAGACCTGGAATTCATGACAGAATTGAAGCTCTTCCATATTCCTACACCACCACATTCAGGCCCATTTAATGTGAAAAACCACTAGACTTACTGGACAGTATTTCAAATCCAGGCAGAGCACACACCAGTTTATTCTGAAATGCAACACAGGTCAGTATATTTGATGTATTCTGTAACTACAACGAATTATTACATTATCAGGTAAAAACAGGTCCCAAATGCATGCATAGAAAGTTTAGCAGTCTTTGAACTCCTTATTTCTAAATATACAAAAAATACATTTAAGTTATATAATTTTAGTGAATCAAAGACTTATAAAATTACAATTTTGGTTTTCACAACATAGAAAAAATACAAAATGACTATATATACGGTTGTACAATTTTACGCAAATTTCAAAGGAGCAGTATGTACTGATTTTGATGTTTTATAATGTTTTATCTGAAACTCAGAATCGAAAATAATTTGCAGGTTGTACCACATCAATGCCAACCTTTCATTATAAATGAATAATAAAAAAAAGAAGAAAAGCAAGTGGAAATGAGGGCAGTATCTTCCCATGGCTCTTTAACTCTGCATCTTCTAAACCCTTCCTGCTGGAAGTAAGCTCCAGAGGAATGTTTTTGTCTGGGAGGAGAGTGCCTTAATCCATCACGAACTCTCCATGGTGCCGTGTTGAGTGAAGGATCCTGACCCCAGCGAACAGAACACAGCAAGGTGCAGACTGGCAGCTTGTGTCTACACAGCACCACTGGGTACCTCAAAGAATTCTCTGCCAGAAGGTGGTCCCTGAAGTGGGGATCTGAAACACCCAATCACGTGGGCAGCCAGGCAGAAGCCGCCTTTGAATGTGCCCTGAAAATGATAAGTCTGACAAAATAGCCACCAAATGCCACCTTACTCATTCACACATTATAAGAGTACGTGACATTTGGCAGGCTTAGATGTTCTCAATTCATAAACGAACACTACCACTTCCGAGAAGAAATTAATTCATGTTAGAGATTAACCAGTTATGGAGAAGGTAACTGATGGACATGGTGGTATCGTCTTACTTACCTGCCATGAGCATTTTAAATGCTGATGGACACACACACACACTTGGGGTTGAGATCCTTTTTGAGAATGGAGTGGGCTGCCGTCTTCTTGCTGCCAAAGTTCAATCTGAAGCAATATCACTGTTACCAACAGGAGGTTTTTCATAAACAGTGACTAATTATAACAGAGAGACCTAAATAAAATCCTTAATCTAGCAATCCTGGAAAACCTACATTTTTCATTCTGTCTGCTATAGACTGTTCCAAAAACAATTAAAAAAAAAATCTTACCCAAATTGAGTAATGAGGCTAATATAACCAAATTGATTCTATTTTACAGTAAAAATACATTTTGGAAAAAGCATGAAAATAATCTTTCCTGTGTATTTTGTTTACGAAGTACAAGAAGAGAGGCTAATCTCAACATATCCAAGGTAGGAGTGCTGACTTTAAGAAGCAGGATTTTAATGTTCAATTCAAAAATCATTTATTACACATCTGCCTGCATTACATTGTAGGCTGCATACTTTCTTCTTACTTTCATCTTAATTTTCAAGCTTGTATGAAAATAAGCATTTACAAAATTAGTTTCCCACTATGACACTCCTCTGATATTAGCAATTATATTAAATGATAACTACTCAGGAAGTTAGACTTTAAAAATTTTAAACATCAACCAATTAAAAAAAAAAAGGAAAAAAGGCTCCTCCAAGAACATTCAATTTAAGATTGAATGCACATCTAAACTTGGGCTTCCTGCTTCCACCCAACCCTTTCTTGAGGGGGCTTACATGCACAGTCGAGCAATTAAATGGTATGAAGACATGATGTTAATTAGACAATGTCCATATGACCAAAGCGTTTCTTTGCTGCTCCACCATGTGGAGATGTTGCTTTTAGCTCATGATGGCCCAAACCGGAACATTTCACTGCCTCTGGTCTTACAGTGTGGTGGGAGTTACATAGGACCACATTTAGGAAAAGTATCCAAACAGAAGAGTTGAATGAAATTTGTAAGTAAAACAGTAAAGGTGTACGAACCGATTCCTGAATGTTCCTCTTGATTACATTTCTAATCTTCCATGTGCTTTCAGTAACAGATTCTCTCTACTCCTGTGTGCCTAGACTGGCATCAGGTCCATACAGGAAAATAGCCACTGGCAAATACTCAGAGCTGTTCTGAGAATGGTCCTGTGAATGGTACTGGTCATTTACTAGGAACCGGGCTTTCCCTTTCTGAGAAGAGACATTTTGTTAAAAGATGACTGAGGTTGAGCCCCAATAATGTAATTCTCTGCAAGGTATACATACTTATTAAATCAAGCACAGTTTCTTAATGGCAGGCAGTAAGGACTCAAGTGAAGACAGACAAAATGATTTCTAGTTGTTTCTGATTATGAGCACTACCCCAAAGCTTCACAGACAGATACACCGCATAATTCATTCACTAGATATGAGGGGTTAGGTCCCAGCCGTAACTTCAGAGCATTCCAGAGAACAAAGTTTGCCACTTCGAAAATACAAGTAGCTTCCAGCATGCAGTCAAGCACATTGAAAGGAAATGCTAAACATACTGCAGACTGAAACATAACTCTACTGCAAGCTGGGCATTCAGCTGGCACAGCTTCATTACTCAGACTGTAACTCTCAAATACTTAGTGTTACAGATCTTTACTTGTCAGATACACGAAGGAAACAGGAGGATATAAAATGCCAAATCCCTTTCTAGTGCCATCATAAATATTGAGAATTTCCAGTTGAAAGAGCATGCTGAAATGGACCGGCCAGGATATTTTATGTAACATTCTTTTAAAAATAAAATCCCAGGCCCATGTGATACTGGATTTTGGGTTTTGTTTTATTTTTTTAATGTTTTAAAAATAGTTCTTAACTTATTTTCTATGAAACATACTGGGAACTCAAAAAGTCTGCAGCATTTTTTGTCTTTGAAAAGTTTGTTTTTTTCAGGGGAACAGGGGTGCAGGAAGCAGGAACTATTCAAATTTCTTGTGTTCTTCTATATGAGAAAGGATCTTTCTTCTCTGGTGTATCATGTGGAAGTACAACTGGGGAAAAACTGGAAAGAAAAGAAAGAACTGGTTAAGGAGCTCATTTTTACTCGCATGTGTAAAAGCACGTAGGCTTGAGGTCCCTCTCACAACTTTCTCATCCAGCAACCAAGGAAGATAACAGTGTGGAGGTGGGGACAGGGAAGAGAACAGACAGACTTCTCTTTTCCTGCTTGAGCTGGAGGGATAGGGATAGGGCAGTACAGACTGGAATGAAAGATACCACTGTCACTATCATTACCAATCAGATGCCAGAGCTGCCAAATAATACTCTTTATACTCTCTCATTATCTTCAAATATATTCTCTGATTTCACAGCAACTAGGTGAAGAATTCTAGTGACGGAGTTATTATTCCTGCTCACAGAGGCACCCAAGCCTCAGAGAGGGTAGGAGGCCCTTTGCCTAGGGTTGTACAGCAAATCACTGGCAGAATCAGGAGCAGGCTTTAGACTCCTGCCTCTTCGTCTAGCTCCCTGCATCTGCTCTGTCACCAGAAGGATCTCCCAAAAGTATTTGCCAAGACAGGCTATTTGCTACATGCAGAGATGGAGGAGAAGGGGTGCTTGCGACATGTGATCTGAGAACAACCAAGCCAGGTCTGAGTGTGGGAGAGTAACCACTGCAGAGTCTGTCCTTGGTCATTTCAATAGATTACCTTAAAACATACTGATATTCTCAAATGATCAAGTGGTGCCACCTCCCTAGGGAGTTTTTGGAAATGGCGGGGAGTACTTGGGGTGGGGAGTTACTGGCATTTACTTAGCACATGGGGCAGGAATGCTAAATCTTGCAATGCATGACAGTCACCCACAACTAAGACCTGCCCCATCCCAAAGGCTTCAGGGTCCCTGCTGGGAAATGCCAGTTTAAGCTACTTGGGCTCCGTAAGATTCCTATAAACTAGGGGTTCAACAACTATGTAAAAAAAAATCCAGTGAGATGATCCTGAGGGTACCGTATCTTTCCCTCCCTCCCGTTTCCTACAGTTCCAATCATATTTTTTAGACAGCAACCTGTATTTTGGGGGAGGTAATTTCTGCTATTGCCAACTCTCCCCTGATAGTTTCTTCTTTTAAATGGGTTCCAAGTTGGCCAAATTTCAAATGATCCTCTCAAAGTACTCCGAGACATTGGTGGGTGTGTCACACAGCTCTGATAAACTGCAGAGGAGGCCCAGCACAGATCAGGGCTGCCATCCACTACACTCACTATTTGTAGGCAGGAAGTTATTCAGATAAGACCCAGCTTGTGCATATAATTCAACAGTGAGAGAACTATTTTGGTAGGAAAGCCAGAAAATTTGACAAGCTCTATAATCTAAAAAGTGGAAGTAAAGATATAATTAAACCATAGTGAATGCTAATTGCCACCATTTAAAAATGTGGAACCAGTTATATTTCTATAGATACATTTTAGTAAAGGAAACGTTCATGGCAAAATCTGCTAAGGATTTTCCCACTAGTTCTTTTGTGGTTGCACTGCCCCATACTGCACGGCTGAGGAAGGACAATCACCTCACAGCCATGCATCAGATTCATTTTTTTACATCTTCCAGAGGTTTCTCAGTGTCCAAGAGAAATGGAATGTATGTGGGGGAGGCCAAGAGAACAGAGGCATTTGGGCTGGAGGTTGTCTACAACTCTAGTAGTTACTTATTGGTGACTAGGACTTGGGTGACACCGTCTCCATCTGAATTACTACATCTGTAGACTGAGCCCAACTGTAAAGACTGAAACAACGCATGGCTACTGTGTTGGACTATGGTGAAGAAAAACCCTAAGGAAACCTCAATCTGATAATTAAGCTATTTCGAATTCTACTTTCTCCTCTGCCAGGTCAGTACACACAGAAAGGACATGGCTGCTGTGCATGTGTGTGTGAGTGTGTGTGTGTGTGTCTGTGTGTTGGGGTTTGGGGCACTGGAGGTGCCATTGGGCTCGCTTCCTGTAAGTAGGTGGGTTCTCTTCATCTCTAGGAATGGAAGACTTGGAGACACAAAGCAACTGGAAATGCTCTGCCTGGGGCAAGTTTCTTCCGTTTTCTCTAAAACCCAGAGATGTGGTTATGGTTACGGCCATCACAGCTTCTTGGTGTCCTCATCCTATATTGAACTTTCTAATTTCTTGGCCTCTCTTTACCCTCACCTGATAACCAGCTTTTGCCACCTGGGGGTGAGGGTGGTAATGTGAACAGGGCTCAGACAGGTACTGAGTCCTGCCGGTACTGTACATACTGTAGCTGCAGCAGAGCAGGACAGGAGTGCTTGGCAAGGGACTCCAAAACACCCCAACAGAGAGCACTTCTGGGGCCACGACTCCATGGACCACAATTTGGGGTGCATGTGCAACAGTGCAAAAATAGGTCAGGACAATAACGAAAGGGGTCATTTTATATAATACACATATATCATCAACTTCCCACTAAAGATGATTAAAAGAACTTAAGTTGTAGAAAGAAAACCAAATTTGGTAAAGAAGGCTGGAGGTCAACAGCAACCTCTCCTAACTCTGCATTTTCCTCTTATAAATATAAAGTTTTGGAAAGTTGGAAATGTGCAGTTGGTTGGAATGAACTGTACAAACTGGTCCCGATGTTAACAACCTAAACTACCGAAAACACCCAGGGCCACGGGCTCAGGCCAGGAGCAGAGTGAGTAGCAGCAGACACAAATGATTTGTAGCGGGAGATCCGGCCTAGGCTGCCATGGTGAGCCTCAGTGGGAAGGCAGGGATTTGGAGGGAATCTTTTAATCTTTATTTGAGATCTACCCTTTCTCTTGATCTACAAGAGCTAAGTTGCTTTACAAAAGAAATAACATAAACTTTACAAACCAAGTGCTTACCAAAAAGAGGCTGAGCATGTGAGAAGGGGTGAGGAGCTGAGGTGAAGAAGGCAGATTTCTGCTGAAAAGTGAGTCCTGCCCTACTCTGCAAAAGACAGCTGGCCCTAAGGTCTGTGTTTTCTCTCTTCTCTCTCTCTTTCTTAAGGCTGAGAAGGAAAATCCCACAGAACTGGGTTTGTTTTTCTTAGGAATCCTATCAGGGAGGGCAGGTACTCGATGGACAACAACACAAGAAAACCAGGAGGTGCAGACGGACTCAGGTTGTCCTGAAGAGTTGTTCTGGAACAAAGCCCCTCCTTCTACAGGCTGGAAATCTTACAGCAACTCTGAGTTAGTGGCCCCAGATTTCTGTCAATGTGGCAGCATCTTGTTATTGGTTTGATTTCACGATACCCTCCCTGCCCTTCTCCCAGGTTTTTCAGTGCAGCATCTGTATCCTATTCATCCAAGAATTTATGCTGAATTTAAATAAATACTATGGTGCCCACTGGGATATGTGTTACTCTGAGTGTAGCAAAACTGTAACTAGGAATTGCTGCCCTAGAGACAGGAAAATGAGTCTCTAAGGGAAATTAGAAAGGTGAAAAAGCATCAAGTTCATTTTTATGACTTCAATTTTTAGATTCTTCCATATTTATCTTTTGTTTGAAAATCAACTACCGTTTACATTTGAAAAGAGATGGCCTTTTCAGCCATCATGGTTCCAGGACCAGAAAGGAGGTCTTGATAACTAACAAAGAGTGGGAGATGAATCATGATGCAGAATTGCAGTCTAAGAATTTCTCCAAGATAAACGTTCACATGAAATCTGGATGTAGTTTTTTTCTCACAATGCATGAAATGCAATTTTCCACAGAAGGACACAAACATGTTGTTTACGACTGTCAGGATGATTCATTCAATTTGACTAGGACTTGGGTGACACCGTCTCCATCTGAATTACTACATCTGTAGACTGAGCCCAACTGTAAAGACTGAAACAACGCATGGCTACTGTGTTGGACTATGGTGAAGAAAAACCCTAAGGAAACCTCAATCTGATAATTAAGCTATTTCGAATTCTACTTTCTCCTCTGCCAGGTCAGTACACACAGAAAGGACATGGCTGCTGTGCATGTGTGTGTGAGTGTGTGTGTGTGTGTCTGTGTGTTGGGGTTTGGGGCACTGGAGGTGCCATTGGGCTCGCTTCCTGTAAGTAGGTGGGTTCTCTTCATCTCTAGGAATGGAAGACTTGGAGACACAAAGCAACTGGAAATGCTCTGCCTGGGGCAAGTTTCTTCCGTTTTCTCTAAAACCCAGAGATGTGGTTATGGTTACGGCAATCACAGCTTCTTGGTGTCCTCATCCTATATTGAACTTTCTAATTTCTTGGCCTCTCTTTACCCTCACCTGATAACCAGCTTTTGCCACCTGGGGGTGAGGGTGGTAATGTGAACAGGGCTCAGACAGGTACTGAGTCCTGCCGGTACTGTACATACTGTAGCTGCAGCAGAGCAGGACAGGAGTGCTTGGCAAGGGACTCCAAAACACCCCAACAGAGAGCACTTCTGGGGCCACGACTCCATGGACCACAATTTGGGGTGCATGTGCAACAGTGCAAAAATAGGTCAGGACAATAACGAAAGGGGTCATTTTATATAATACACATATATCATCAACTTCCCACTAAAGATGATTAAAAGAACTTAAGTTGTAGAAAGAAAACCAAATTTGGTAAAGAAGGCTGGAGGTCAACAGCAACCTCTCCTAACTCTGCATTTTCCTCTTATAAATATAAAGTTTTGGAAAGTTGGAAATGTGCAGTTGGTTGGAATGAACTGTACAAACTGGTCCCGATGTTAACAACCTAAACTACCGAAAACACCCAGGGCCACGGGCTCAGGCCAGGAGCAGAGTGAGTAGCAGCAGACACAAATGATTTGTAGCGGGAGATCCGGCCTAGGCTGCCATGGTGAGCCTCAGTGGGAAGGCAGGGATTTGGAGGGAATCTTTTAATCTTTATTTGAGATCTACCCTTTCTCTTGATCTACAAGAGCTAAGTTGCTTTACAAAAGAAATAACATAAACTTTACAAACCAAGTGCTTACCAAAAAGAGGCTGAGCATGTGAGAAGGGGTGAGGAGCTGAGGTGAAGAAGGCAGATTTCTGCTGAAAAGTGAGTCCTGCCCTACTCTGCAAAAGACAGCTGGCCCTAAGGTCTGTGTTTTCTCTCTTCTCTCTCTCTTTCTTAAGGCTGAGAAGGAAAATCCCACAGAACTGGGTTTGTTTTTCTTAGGAATCCTATCAGGGAGGGCAGGTACTCGATGGACAACAACACAAGAAAACCAGGAGGTGCAGACGGACTCAGGTTGTCCTGAAGAGTTGTTCTGGAACAAAGCCCCTCCTTCTACAGGCTGGAAATCTTACAGCAACTCTGAGTTAGTGGCCCCAGATTTCTGTCAATGTGGCAGCATCTTGTTATTGGTTTGATTTCACGATACCCTCCCTGCCCTTCTCCCAGGTTTTTCAGTGCAGCATCTGTATCCTATTCATCCAAGAATTTATGCTGAATTTAAATAAATACTATGGTGCCCACTGGGATATGTGTTACTCTGAGTGTAGCAAAACTGTAACTAGGAATTGCTGCCCTAGAGACAGGAAAATGAGTCTCTAAGGGAAATTAGAAAGGTGAAAAAGCATCAAGTTCATTTTTATGACTTCAATTTTTAGATTCTTCCATATTTATCTTTTGTTTGAAAATCAACTACCGTTTACATTTGAAAAGAGATGGCCTTTTCAGCCATCATGGTTCCAGGACCAGAAAGGAGGTCTTGATAACTAACAAAGAGTGGGAGATGAATCATGATGCAGAATTGCAATCTAAGAATTTCTCCAAGATAAACGTTCACATGAAATCTGGATGTAGTTTTTTTCTCACAATGCATGAAATGCAATTTTCCACAGAAGGACACAAACATGTTGTTTACGACTGTCAGGATGATTCATTCAATTCATGCTGTGGGCTGATGAAAAAGCCAGCCCTCCTGTCTGAATTAACCTGAGGTTCAGGGGAGAATACAGTGACTTAGAGGCTAAAAGAAGATTCAGAGTGACAAAGCCTACAGAAATAGCTAAATGAGAAGAAACATTAACTGTATATATTCTTGGGTAAACAAGATCCTTTCGGATATGTGGAAATCAATCAGGATTTCAAGTGAATATCAGAATTTGAGAAAAGGACTAAACAATTCTTTCTCAGCAAACAGGGCTCACTTCGCAGAAGCCTTGAACGTGGCCATTGCTCTGTTACCAAGTATGCAGACAGACATATTTGATTATCTATATATTTAAACCTTTAGCAGTACTATTAGAGTAACTGGAACTCATTCGGAAGAGAACATTATGTCCTGTTCAGATGATTCTAGTGCTTATTTCCAAGCAAATGATACAGAAAAAAATAATCTATTCTTATTTTGTTATTTGTTTCTAGTTAACTACTGATTGTTTAAAAATGAAGTAACTATGTATTTTGATGTAGTAAAAGTGCGAAAATCTCTTTACAATGACTCTCAAACACTATAACCAGCAGTCTCAAGACAAAAAAAAAAATCAAGGTAAGGTCTTTAACGGTTTTTCTTGTTTTTGACTCGATATCCCCTCCAGTAGATAGTTGACCTATCCTGGTATTCACTGTTTCAAACCCACACACTGAGAAGGGCTGCATTTTGGCAGCTGTATTGAAAAGGGTTCATCTTTATTCAATTACCACCAGAGAATATTCCCTCTGACAGTTAGCATTCAATAAAAACCAAAGTGTTCCCAATAAATTAGATTTACATTTTCCTGGATATGGCATAAGAACAACCGAAGGCATTCAACTCTAGTTATTGTAGGCCAACTTTTAAAACATGAATAAATATATGCGTAATTGTTTACTTACTTGGAATGTAGGAGATCATTATCAGAATTAGGAATGCATAATAGTCAAAGGAGAAATTGTATTTGTTAGGTAAACTGATGGAGTACAGGCCAGCCTGTCTGACAAAGGGCAAAGCGGCATATATTGTGAGCAGCTCCCCTGAGACTCCCATCGGGTACAGTACAATGAAAAGTGTGTACCTAAAACAAAACAAAATATCGTTACAGAGGCTTGAAGCCAGCTTTAGTAGAAAGATGCACTTCCATCCTTCTAATCAGTACAGGTCTTTTAGAAAACTATTCTTAATACATTTTCCTGTTTACCCACTGTGTAAATTCAGGATTTGTAAGCCAGATTTTGAATAGGGAGTAGAGCAGTATGTTTCTGAATGTTCTAAAATAAATGAACTGTGTTCGGCCAGTCTCAAAAATTGACCTGACTAAATAAACAACTCCCTGAAATAACTAAGGTGATAACAAATACTGGTAAAGTAGGGGCACTGAGTCATGGTTTATAAAAAGGGTCCTGCCCTGTAGGGTGGGAGTGGGGTAGGGGCGTTTTTCAGGGAAGCCAGGAGAGGTGTTGGAACATGTATGTAGAAATTTCTAAAACATAACACCACATCTTGTCTGTGAACTGAAAAAACCAGCACATCCAATGTGTGTACACTGCCACAATGATTCCAATGTCTGAATGTGCTACTGGGAAAGTGAAATACATGCTAATTTAAAAACATTAAAAATTCATAACAGCTTTTGGTCAGTAATTTTTTAATTTAAAAAAAACTATAATTACTATCACTTTGGAGAATCCACACAATTTTTTTTTTTTTCACTTTAAGAAGGAGTTCTTCATGACTCAAAAAATCAGAGAGAGGGTCATCCTCTGGAGCTAAATGGAAGTCATTTCAAGGTTACGCACTGCTAAAGAAATCTTCAGCTCAGACTTAAAAAAAGCCTTTGGCTGTTGATGACCGACAGTGAGCACTGGGAGCCACACTTCTAGGTAAGGAATTGTGTTGACAAGTGTGTGATGATGGAAGATAGATGTGTTCCCCACTTCCAACATCAACCATGCTGAGGATGATGGTGGAAAAGGAAGAATCTTCCATAGGTAATGGAAACTGAATGACAGAAGAACCCTTCTCCTATAGTAAAATCAGGGCTTGGTCAATCAACTTTCCCTGTAACCAGGGCAGACAGCTTTCACAATGCCGGCCCAGGTTGGTTAGTAACTGCTATATTTTTCTCATTCTTCCCTTTCCCTAATAAAAATGTGTATTGGGGAAAAAAAAGAAAAGAAAGAAGAATGCATATTTGAAATGCTGGAAACAATTGGCTTATGTCTCTAATTTAATCAACAAACTCATAAACTGTCTGGGAACCACTGTTTTCCTTCTGTGAAATGAGGCACATAGACCCCCAGGACGGTTTTGACTCTTCTGCTTTGTCCTTCATCCCATAGTCTTTTCCAACTCAGAAAACTGCTCGCAACTGTCTCATGGATTAGTTAGATGGACAGATGAACTGTCAGCCTTTTACCCAATTCACAATCAGTGTTACTGGGAAAAGTACTGAAAGCAAAATAAAACTGCTAACAAGCTAAAACTACCATGTAACGTTTGGTATTAACTGAAAATTTAAGAGCCATAGTTTGTTGACAAAATTGAGACTGGGAGAACTGGACTTGGTCCAAAGAACATCATAATGACAGAAGTTCATCAGAAAACTTTGTCATGGACAAAAAAGGGGTATTACATCAAATCTCGAATAATGTAACTGAAATAATTGAGCCAATAAAAATAACTTAAGAATAAAAATTTTATTAAGTGTTTCTATTAATCAAAGTTAAGTAGAAATCCTTATCCTGATGAAATCCAAGACCAGATTTCCACCTAACCCCTCTCTCATATGATTTTATTTTTAAGAACTTAGAGGCAATATTAAGGCAGTAAAGGGCAAATGCAGTGATGGGTCATGTCAAAAGTTAGTTTTCATTCCATGTACTTCTTTACCTGGCCCATTTGATGAGGTAAGGCAGATGGTTCAATAGACTGAATGTGTAAAAGGAGTAACGGATAATTTCCGTGACTGTCCAGGCAATAACAAACAGGAGGACACTGTCTTCACTTTGTACCTGAGAGAAAGGAAAATAAAACCAAAAGCAAACACACAGAATATTTTAACAAAGGAGCACCCACAGCGGACAGCACCAGACTCCCATCCCCTGTAAGTGTACACGGCACCTGTCTCCATCCTGGCAGCCATGGCACAGCCCGGTTTGCCACATAAGCAACGTGTGCCTTTTGACAATTTTGTAGAGCCCAGAAATTAGGCACAAGTGAGAAGGAACTCAGCCTATGAAGGAGTAAGAAAGGCAGGGACAGGGATTTCTAGAAGCTACAACCCACAGGAAGAAATAAACACAGTGAGTGCCTTTCTGCATGTTTGTTCGCTACCCTGCTGCTGAGAATGTGAACTAATGTTGGTGGCAGCCAAAGGTACTTAGGTAAGAGGGCAGAAGGGAAAAATAGCGGAAGGGGACCCATTAACAAGATTTTCATTTTATTTGCATGACAACTAAGAATCTAAGGAAATTTCTAAGAAGGGGAACATAATGATTAAAATGAAACTGAAGATGAGGCCAATTCAACGGGGTAGGATGAATTCAAGCGAGGGAAGAGCTGGAAACCATTTACAAGGTAGGGCCCATTTATTCTCTCTCACTGGTGACTTCTTCCCTGGGATTAGGCCTGGCTTAAATCTAGGATTATAGAAGCCTCCATGCTGATCACAGGAGATGGCTAAAGCCAGAAGAGCTTTGGAATTTCCAGCCTCCTCTGAAGTTGTTTTTCATGCTGAAAAAACAATAAACTTGAAGAGACCCTTAGGTTTTTTTTGGGAGTTGTTCTTACTAGATGCCTTCCACTAAAATCTTACCTGAAAATGAACTATTATTGTCTTAACTTTCAGCATTTCCCCCCATCCCACATGAGCTAGGTTTATAATGACCCTCTGTGCTCGAAAACCAATAATAAGAAACAACCTTGAACCCACCCCCAAATCATTTATATTTTCTTGCATACAAAAAAGGGAGTTATCTTTAGATGTAAGAATTTCCACTGAGTAAACTGAACAGACCTTAGTTGCAAGATGGATCTTCTCTGTTTCATTCCTAACACCTAATACAGGCAAAGGTATGGCATTCTAACCTTAACTTTAGCTTCTTTGCATTTGCAATGTTAATAGTCTTTAGCGCTTACATTCTTGCTCAGAGAGTGTACATGGGGCAATCCACCTACACAGTAAAATAAGTAGTCATTTACATACCTATTAACTAAATTGCTCTGACAAAGAATTTCATAAATGCATAGTTACTGTTCTCTAAAAATAATATGAATTTTATACTGTCAAGAGCAAGGGTACTTTTGTTTTCCTGGTGCTTATATTAAGTGAAGGAAAATAAAAGCTAAACACCTCTGAAGCTTTTCATGTTTCATTTTTCAGTTTGCAAATCCTTGCTTAAAACCCATCTCTTCTAGAATACAATTTCAGAGCACACTTTGCTTTTTGATGTATTTTGTGACCCTCCTCTTCTTAAGGAGATATGTTTTTACAGCCATGGGCTGAAGCCTTGCTTAAAAGATCTCTGGGTTACAATAGGAAGTTCTTCCAATATTTTGCATTGTAATAGTCTTGAAAGCAGAGAATGTGTTCTGTTCATTTTTCAACTTCCAAAAGCACTTTGTGCTTTTCACAAGCAGTAGCTCAATAAATATTTGTGGAGCAAATGAATTCAGTCCTAATCAGGTCACTCCAAGAATACATTGCCTGCTTTTTGATACCTGATGTTAATTTCTGTGTAGTCTTAGTGGCCTTCAAAAAGACAGGTAAAAAAAAGGAAAGAAAAACACAAAACACCCCCCCCGCCCACCACCAAACCTACTTGATCCAGCCTAGAGGTTACTTGATTTAAACTCCTTCCCCAATGCAAGTTAGTCGTGAACCCAAAAAAAATCTATGATAAACTCAGACTGAAGCTGAATGTGAAAGCAGTCTGCTCCCAGCGTCCATCTGTGAAGACCATGTCATAATTTCAAAAAGACTGATAGGGGAAATGATCGTTTTGTACAAATTATATCTTCAGATCAACAGGAAGTACAACACTTACCAAGAACAGGCTTGGGTGAAGTCAGAGATAAAGTTTATCTGATTTATAGATAATTATTCAATGACATAAAAACAGGAGCAGAGTGTGATGAGTTAGAACTAGTAAGATCAATGAGACTCAGACAGGTGTTTATACACCCATGTTCACAGCAGCATCATTCACAACAGCCAAAAGGGTAGAAGCAACACAAATGTCCATTAACACTTCCAATAAATAAAATGTATATACTTAAAATATATTCAGTTTTAAAAAGGGAAGGAACCTCTTGTCACATGCAACATGGCTGAACCCTGAACACAACTTGCTATGTGAAAGAAGTTGTTCACAAAAGGACAATTACTATGTGTGTGGAGAAAGTGAAGGTTCCTGTGGCCAGGATTCTCCCTGGCCCTGGTCGGCTAGCTCACTACACACATGTGGGCAATACGTTGCTACTGACTATATAAAGATACCGTAGCACGACTGCATGGCTGCAGGAGCGGTGTGTGGATACAATTGTAATATTTCCGGAATATCTTGTCTGGCTTTAGTATATCTGCATATCAATAGGAATTCAGAGGTGGAAAGAAGTTCTTCTCCGTATCAATGGGTAATGACCTGGGCAAAGGACGGCTTATCTGGACCTGAGAGGTGAGGGGGAGTGTTAGTTTTGCTACTGCCGGAGCAGGAGAGAAAAATGGCCCCGGACTGCAGTCTGTAAGCAATAAACGGATTTTAAAGTTTATTTCTCCCTTTGACTGATTTCGGTTTTTAGAGGTGTTTTGCCCCGGGATTTCTTCTCCCCAGACTTACAGGTGGCAGTGTTGAGGACAGAGACTGAGACAGCTGCGGGGGCAGAGAGGCCCAGAGGCAGAGCTCGGCTTGCTAAATGCAGACTCGCTCTGAGTGGATGGGATTCTAGTGACTGACCTGCCACCATGGGAATAAAGTTGGGTATAAACCCTTTTCACCCCAAGCACGTTCATTGTTATTCCTCGGTCTCACTGAATCCATAGTGAACTTGCCCGAGGCTGAAACCCATTGGCAAGACAGTATGTCCCACTCATGTGACACCCAGAGCAGTCAGATCCAGAGAGACCAGATGTAGGAATGGAGTGGAGGTCGGACGACATAGCAAATAATTGTTTGATGGGTACAGAGTTTCAGTTTGGGAAAATGAGACATTGGAGATAGATAGTGGTGACAGATGCACAACAATGGGATTGTCTTACTGCAAGTGAACCACTTAACAATGGTTAAAGTAGCAAATTTTATGTTAGGTATAATTTACTACAATTTTTAAAAAGCCAATAAGATTAAATGTAATAGGGTAACTGTGAAGTCACACATGATTTAGCAAAAACAAAATGACTCCAGTTCTGAAGAGAGAAGGACCAGCTTATAAATCCAAGAGACTGGGAGGTTTTGGTGAACTACAAGCTTCATTTGCGCCGATGTGCGGCAGGTGCAGGTGGCTGCCCTTACCAGCCCCGCAACCCGTCAACCAACCAGCGCCTAGGGATCAGAGTCAGTTACAAGAGCTCCTCCCCTGGCAGAGCTTACCTTGGCAAAGGAGAGGGTTAACTGTTCAAAATACGTAAAAAGGTACCATGTGCAAGAGGCATACAGACATGAGACCAATTGGAAAAATTAACTGAGAGCAAAATGCCTGGTTTGAAATATGAAAAACTGTGTAACAAACCAACTGATTAATAAAACGGGCTGCCTTATAAAGTATGCTCCCAGGCCCAGACATACCCAAATGGAGATTGCTCAGGAGAAAGTCCTATGAAGGGGAGAGGGCTGACCTGGGTGGTAGCTGGTAAGGGCTCCCAGCTGCTGTCCTTTGGAAAGGTGTGTACACTTCACCTTCCTATCAAGGGCCAGTGACTGAGAAAAAGAATCAACTGATAGCAGCACTGAAGGTAAAAAGAAAAAAAAAAAAAGCCAGTTTAGCTTTGGAGGGCTTAAGGGGCAAAGAACTAGGATTATAAAGAGTTCTGCCTGGCTGCTTTTCGATTTACGAACTCTATAGAAATATATAATTTTACAAGTTATGAAGGGTAAGACGTTTACTGAGTCCACACAAAGATTTGCAGACAAATGTTTTCATAGCAGCATTGCTCATAAAAGCTGAAAAGTAAAAACAACCAAAATGTCCAGCAGCTGGGTAACGGATACACACAATGCGACAGACATCCGCACAACGGAATACCCATCAGCAAGAGAGGAAAGGAAGACCCAGGCCTGGTAGAACACAGATGAGCTTCAAAAACATGCTGAGTGAAAGAAGCCAGATGCAAACGGCCACCCATGTATGATTTCATTATGAAATGTCCAGAAAGGGTGACTCTAGAGACAGAAAGTAGATTAATGGCTGCTAGGGGTGAGGAGTGAGAATGGAAATTAAGTTTTAAAGGGCATGAGGGATCACAGTGCAGTGATGGAAATGTTCTAAAACTGGATTATGGTGATGGTTGCACAACTTGGTAAATTTACTAAAAAGTACTGGATTGCACACTTAAAATGGGTGAATTTTATGGTATATAAAAAAGTCATTTTTTAAAAAAGAGTATGATGTTTAAATGTATATTACTGCCTTTTAACAGAAAGGGGGGCATTTAGGACAAAAAGGGAGAAGGGAGATAGGGGGATTTATCAAGGTTTACAAAGGAAAAGAGGGAGACCAAGGTTTGGCTGCCAAAAATATCTTTGATGCCATGCTGCCAAGTTGCATATTCATGATCATGCACAAATGGGGGAGGGGCCGGTGGGCAGCCGGGCCCAGCAGGAAGTCTTCTGTCTGGGACAGTGAGCTGTGTATGTTGGACCCTCCTCGCTGCAGATGGCAGGTTTCTGCCCCCTGCTCCACAGCAAAGGAGGAGGGGCTGGGTGTGGGTGGCTTGTGTAATTTAGCCAAGGGAGTTTACACAGAAATTCAAGCTGGAGAAACAAATGGGTGCAAGAGAAAAACCTTGACACACAAA